CATTACCACACGGTACTAGAACAGTCCTAATAAAAACTGCCAATTGACTCCACACTAAACAATGAGGCTTGGTTAGGGATACCCAGGAACGTCCCAAGGGGCCGTCTTAAACTATGCGTTCGATTCACACATCCTAGAATTGAATTTATCTACACACCTTTTACTAACAAAGCTCCACCATATTGGTAGCTCAGTAAAAAAATTCATTACACCTAGTTAAAACAAGATGTGCTAAGAGCATATTAATACGTTTAAATAATTTTAGAGAAATTGTTTATGATCAAAAGCATTTGCTATTTTTTTTTAAAAAGAGGAATCCTGTAGCTTGTGCGATACCCAAGTGTTTGAGTGTAACACTTTCAGCCTTTTTACATCTTCGAGAATCGTAACCTCCTGGCGTACCAGTAACGATGCGGTCTCCCCCTCCATTCCCTGAATTATTAACACGTGCCATCTAAGAAGTTGAATCGACAGAATTAAAACTTACCGACCTCTTTCATATTTCACCTACTTACGTTGTTTCCAAGTCACTTGTGTATTATCATAGGTGCCCGCATTGAAACGGTTTAACGACACATTGACAAGACACCGCGTGCCCGTGTCAACATCGCTTAGCTCCGGTAACCTTGGCTCCGAATTAATTATGACCGGCTAGTACTTTTCGGTTAATAATTAATTCGTCTGCTGTGTTTATGGTCACTTCCAAAAACTTTACTGTTGCATCCTTTGGGACCTTTGGCTAAACCCTGCAACATTTTCACATTTTTATTTTATAATTAGGTATAGATACTGTTCGTTGAATCGATTGCCAAACGAATCAAATTTGCTTTCAATATAATGTTACTCACTATCTTACAATATAACTGGCCCATTGGGGCTGTAAATAAAAATGTGCATGTAAGTACCCCCAGACAGGCTGCCGTCTGAACGCGTGAGGCGTAATATTTTACACTTCGATTTCTTAAATGCAAGGATGTTTTACGTGCCTCACATTATTCACCTACCTAAGTGTGTATATTCGCTACCAAGATCGTGCTCACCTAAATCTGCGAGATACTTAGGAAGCATATCGGCGCCTAATGTCGGTTCACCCAAGTATTTCATAAAGAAATAAACATGGTGTTTTACATATGGTTACGCTAATGCAGAAGCGAAAAACATAGTTTCGCGGTCGGTGGATTGTCAGTGGACACATGTGGTCTCCTCCCTCGCTGAATAATACACGAACGTTGTTTGAGGCTACGATCTTCGCCTGTTTTATTGCGGACGATTGGCTACAGAAATTTGGGTCCTTTTGGCACCAGCGTCCCTATGGAACTTGATTTAAAAAAATAACGGTCCGTAAAAATAAAAGTTAGGGTAAACGTGAAAATGCAAAGGTATCTGTGAGAAGGCGTCGTTGACTGCTAGCTTGCGATGTTATCCGGCTCCGTGAGTTGCGGCGCGTTTACTAAGTGCGGTGGCTGCGTAAATAATTAAGAACACTTTTCCACGCCGGTGCGGGCTTGTGAACGCTGCGGTACCCCGCCGCCGCCGCCGCGGGTTCCTTGCACCACAAACATCCGCGGACGACAAGATGACGATACCTGACTTTTACCATATATGTATACATCGACATACTACTCAGTACGTATTTACGCAAACACTTACGTTAAATGGAAACACCTCTCGGTACATCCATCAGCATTCTAAACTAGAAGCTTAACCAGACGGCCGTTCGTTATTATTCGTAGGTCCAAATATGTATATATAATCTCATTTCAAAAACAACGCAACAGTGAGAAGAATATATTCAGAATGTGCAGAAAGTTTATAGCCGGCCGAGTGTCAGCTCCGGCGTAATGCTGTAGAGACGAGCAACATAACAGTTTAAAAGACTCTCAAAGATTCCCGATCGCTCGAGGGTTGACGCTTACTGTATATTTCTCAGATAAAGCTCTCGTGTTTTCTCGAGCCGCAATAAAAAGTATGCATATTCTTAAACAGGTAAATATCTCACCGTACGACGTACACACGGAAGGTTAGGGGTCGACATTTTTTCAACGTAACTCGTTTCCCTAGCCCTACTAAGTTAACATAAGCCTCTCTTGACAAATGTTTAAGATGAACGGTTATTTTGCACACTGTTTATGTTGTGCATATTTTTTTAAGAAAAGGAATGGTTTCTGTTATACGTTAGGCTTCAAGAAAGATGTATGGCGCTAGCGTACAGACAGAAGCTGTTTCTGTAATGAGAACCGATTTGTCATCGCTTACATAGCTACTTACCTGGTTTTATTGCCTTGTTTGTTTATAAAAGCTGTTGTATCATCCTGTGTTGCGTGCTATTCATTCATGAAATAGCATTTTACACTCGTTGTTGCGTTTTGATTCTATTATAAATGCATTACTACATTGATTTTATGATATCATTATGTATTATAGTTTATAAAAATGTTGCCTCTATTGGATTGGAACTTCTTAGAAAAATTTTGTCGTAAATTGACAGCATAGTACACAGCTACACCCACGAGTTTACATTTTTAGCCTATTTGATAGTCTAACGACAGAGAGGGTATCGATGCGCAAAACCTAAGCTCCATCGAGCCTGTAACCCGCAGTACACTTGTAGACTACAAATTATTGGCTTGGTATCTCTCCTATAACGTTTTGGTTGGTCAAAAGAACCACGAATACTAGAATATGCATTTTGGAACAGAAACGATGTTTCTAAAACATTTAAACTAGCAGTCAATGTATATCTATGTACATAGGTATGTCAGGGTCTCGGAAACGGCTCCAACGATTTCGATGTTATTGTGTATGCAAAGAGTTTTGACGTTGAAAAATTAATCTAAGTATAAAAAAAGATAAGTACAGAGCTGATCTCGGTCATTCAGGTAATGAATTTTATAAAAAAGACATTTTCGTTTACCTAATCATAGGAATCTAGATATGTAAACATCGTTTTGATATAAAATACTAACTCTGCGTCCATAGAAACGCGTCTGTTTCATTATTCTATATCAGTAAATATAAAAACATTCGCCACGAGCACCAATCAGTAACTACACATATAAGTTCAATATTAGAAAACTAGAATATATCTAGATAAGTTTGCGCCTTTCAGTTCTTCGGTTGATTGATCGGGCACCCTTCTGTCCAATAAATATTAAATAAAGTAGTGCGCAATTTGTCTGTCTTACTTAGTTACGACGAAATGATATATTAACACCGGAGGAAGATGCATCGCTGCTCAAGTTATGGCTCGGTCGTACGTGTTGATGTCGCACACCAGCTAGCCTCCGCCCGCAAAAGTCTAGACTTTTCACAATATTCTCGACTCCCTCGGACGCTAAACTGAATCCTAGAAACATGTAACTACTACAGCTAAAGAATTTATTTAACTTCTCTCATTCAGACAACAAGTGACCTAATTTCATTGCAGCGAAACGAACGAGTATACAATAGGAAAGTAAATTATATTCGAGTCAGAGACCTAACTTAGAAACTTTTAACGACGCCATTGTGTTCGATACAGTTGTAGAAAATCTTGTTGTTCAATAACTTTTATAATATCATCGAAGCTATTTCGTATTTCGTGCAAATGCATGTACCGAGTAGCGAGATGCGCGCATCGACTGCTGTTCCGCAAGTCCGTTACAAAAAACCTCGCGTCTCTTAAAACTATTGCCAGTACACTATATACACTATATATACACTATTCAATTCCACTCACAAAAAAGTACATCAATTTTTATACCACTTCTTACAGATATCATTATAATTGAAACTGTCTATTTATTTACATCACAATTTTCCACATTAAATTCATTATTTGCAATAATCTCTATAAAGGATTCATCAACAAGCGACATTCGACAATCATTATCTTGGCTTTAGAGTTCGGCTCGATCAGTTATTGTTTTCAGTTCAGTTTATGTACCGAAAAATTGAAAATAAAATTAATAAAATACATGACAGGTAAGGAGGCTGGGATATCCATTGTCGAGAGGGAAGCTCCATGTCGATAAACTGCAGCTAAACGCAGACAAGTGACTGATTTCCATAAAAGAATAATTTATGCACATATTAAGCCGTTATTGTACAAGATGTTTTATAAAAGCGCAAACTTGGCTCTTGTTTTATTCCTGCGGCTCGGCAGACCGTGGACTGGCTATTGACTGTCTTATGAAGTCTTTTGACGTCGCCGTAATACTGTTAGAGGCTGGAGGCGGACATACGGACGATGAATATCCCTGAAAATCTTCCCCGGCTCCACCACACATTGTTTCAAGTTACGAGCGCTTCCACTACTAGGTAACACGGCTCGTGTGCATTCATTAACTCTTATAAGCCAAGCAACCATTTGCTACGGAAAATATTTTGTGCCACTATGAATTCTATGAAAATTTTAAAATGTGTGGATCCCGTTTTGTTGTTCAATTTTTAATCCGTTCCGTTTTGTTCTCGTGCATTGTAGAAGAGTCATGGATTGCGGAACGTTAATTTTAACACACAAACATACATATATTTCCTAGATAAAATTATTAAAATTTACCCTCTAATTACAGTTAGTAATGATGTTATCTTGTGTTGTATGCGGATTTAACAACACTATAATTTGACGTGAGACCTCCGATGAAAACTTCGATTTAAGTTTCCGTGTGTTCTGATCTGCGTCGACGAGGAACAAGTTTTTTCCAAATGATCATAAACATGAGACTATAACGCTATAACGTGTTAAACTAGATGCTGGCACTTTATTGTTCCTCAGTTTGCTATCGGGAAGAGTCTGCAATTTTCCAAAGACGAGTTCATTTCACGGTTATTTGCGGTGTCTTCGAAAACATTGCACAAACTCCACTGTGATGATGCAAGGATTCGCGTTATCTCTGGAAGAAAACAATGTGAAGTATTAACTGAAAGGCGTATATTAAAATATTAGTAAACTAAGCGAACGAAGAATAGTTTCATATGTTAAAGAATTCAATTACAAGTGCCGAGGCGGTTGGCGTGCCTGTCAAACTGAGACGTCCCTAGAAAAATTGTAGCCCAATGCCGCAATGTCTCATAACGTGACAAAAACAAGGTGTGTTGCTGACTATAAATATTAAATTCTCCGTATTCTGCGAGTTTGTCGGATACCACATGTGGTTCACTAACCGGGCTTTTAAAAATTCAGCGCAACGTTATCGTCGTCTCAGGCTTTGTCTTCAAACCGATCGGAGATTCCTGATCATTTTAATGTTCGGCGTAGATCACACTCACACCTTAATATTTTCACAAGGGAAATGTGGACTTTGGTAACTAAATACAAGTATGTAAAAATGCAGCTAGCCTGGTTTTGTCACATAATTGTCTTAAGTACTACATTAGTACACATTCATATTCGACATAATTTAAAATTTCTTATCCCCTATAAATCTTATATCCACTAGTTTCATATGAATTCTAAATGAAACTTAAACATTTTCAGCAGAGTTTTGTTAAGTTTTCAAGCAAAACGCTCGGCGATTCATTAACATATGAATACGGAGTTATTTTATAGCGACGTGTGATCTAGATTGTAGATGTTAACCAGTGTAATTGTGGCGACGCCGGCGTAGGTAGATAGTGCGTACATGTTGACGACGAGACACATAATGTACAACTAATAATAGCGGTTATATTATCACCTTTACATTAACTCTATTGTATTCCGTTATGTCATTATGGTGCGGTAATTTAATAGTACAAGGTTGATACATCGTGCTTGTTCAACAATGTGAAACTTTCGACATCCATATTATCTCGCTAGTAGCTAGTGTATAGATACATTACTGCACTGAAACATAGTGACCAATTGGCTTAGCCTCAACCCTTTCATTTAGCTGTTGAGTGATGTTAATAGGAGCGCAGTAAACATATAAATATATATATAACATAATATTTACTATCCTGTTCGATAAATAGGTAGTATTGATCAGGTAACGAAGTTTTCGCGTCCACACCAATAGACTATCTTAATAAACATCTAAGAAGACCAAAAATAGATTGTCAAAAATGAAAACTTTGATCAAGTAAAAAAGTATAAGTAAGTACAAAATTCATATCTTTGTAACGAAGTTTTCATTGTACCGCGAAGTAATATGACTCGACTTGCCCGTACTGATATCCGTGACAGCGAGAATAAGTAGTAAAGTACCGTTGTTGGCAACAGCAAGTTTCAAGCACTTGGTATTATATTAATATCGGGTCGCAGTGTCACGGACTCACGGACCACTTTCATTACTATCTATGTTTAGTGGTGTGAACTTTCTACCAATAGTAACCTAGATCATTGATGTCGGCTGGTGCGGCCATGTTGCCAGCGATTATATACGGCTGTGCGGCTGTTACTGGTGAACGTGCAAATATTTATGATAAACACTTTCATTGTAATACGTTTCTTGTTTGTTTATTTAGTTGGTCGGAAGCAGCTGTAGTCGTGACACTCATTTAATTGATACTTACATCAATATTGCGCTAGTTTCAATAGTACTCGTAACGCCGCGCCGATTGCTAGAGTAATAGTAAACAAAAGCTGGCAGGTTTTATAAACATCGTATTCGTTGCACTGCTCGGGGAGATGGTTAGGAACGAAACGGCAAACATCTTACTAAGTCCATACCTGTAGCTGTGGCCTGAGTGTAGGTGTACGCTATTCATTTGCTATGCAAGTCAATCGATAATTCGGTTTACAGGCAGACGTTTTACGCAAATAATTACGCTAAATCCGCGTTCCAGAATCGGGTCCAGTTAACTTTGTGTGCGAATCAACGGCGAGCTTAGCACAAAATGCAAAAGCCTCCGTGGATGGCATATTAACCTCGATTTCGAAGTTCTGGTTAAGCATCAATGTCAGTTAACTAAAATAGCGGCCAGGTCAGCCTGAATAGACAATGGGACCGTGTAATCGACAGCCGACAAGCTTTATGACATGTCGCTAACTGCACACAGACAATGTACGTAGCTACGTTGTGAATAGTTTGCTGCACACAACGACATGATTTGTATTGAAGGGCAAGGCGGAAATTCACGTTTGTTACCCATCGAGCGGTGGATCAAACAGAGCTCTACAGCGTTACTTAAGTCGAAGACTAAAGTAAACGAGGATTGGCTCCGTCCTATAGATAAGTGTCGGCAGCACTTAAAAATCAATTTTTCTGTTGACTTTATTGTAAAGAAGTATGACAATGGCGAGCGTTGAATTTAATGGCGACTGCATTTTCATCAGCTGCACTTCACTTAACAAAGTGTTCAAAGGATGATCGTATTTTTTTCATAGCGTCACTTTTTCATTAAGGCAAAGGGGAATGTTGTTGGAAAACAGAAGAAAAAATCTCGATAATATCAATTTAGTTACGCCCGCCGCTCTGCTGGGTACAAAGAAATTCCTTAGATACCTCGTAGGTTAGACGGACACTCATTTTAAAGGCAGTCCATCTTATAAATGCCAATATAATATAATATTTTTTGTACACATTCCCAATTCCTAGCATCTAAAAATTTTGAGATGGAATTTCGATATTTATTGGGCATTTAATGAAAATATTCTCGCTAATTTGTAGAAAAGTATTGAGCTTATTTGAAAATTTTAACTTTTTCTTCCACACGTTTCTTGTGTTAACACTAGCACATTGCCAATTTTATGCGATAATGACACAATACATATTCGGTTGTTTCCCCATACATCTGATTGTTTGACAATTACAAACGGCATTTTATTAGTTTTAGTTCGTAAGAGCCGATTATCTGAAGCTTAGATTCATAAACGGTAGTATTACTGCTTTGTATTTCGTTGTACTCTTGGTGAAGTATGGAAAAAGAAAAGTTTTCGATTCCCTCCAGCCAGTTGTCTCGCTCCTGTACTTGTCGCTACTGCACTACGGGGCAACAACACGGACATTGTTCTTTTGTTTTCCACGTTTTCTCATAAATCGAAGATTTTACTTTTTTTCATTTCAAGTTAAAAGTATTTTCTTCAGTCTAAGTTTGGTTACCGATGCTGTTACACGCATTCTAGCTACAATATGTTCTAGCTGGTTATGGAAATTCTACCTACATTTCTCTATTTACCGTCTTGTTTGGCTATTGGCATAATAACTGATGGATTACTGATTGCAATAAAGTAATGTTAAGGAATGCACTCGCAAACTGTTTAGGTGTCCGCTTTTTGCCAACGTGTAACATTTATTCACATCTTGATACCTACATACTGTATAAAAAGCTAGCGTGTAACATACACGCTTCAAAAATTTAAATTGGAAAGAATATTTAATTTTAATTGTTTTCAAATTTACTATGGAATCATAACGAATATAAATTTAAAATTATATTAATTATAATATAATAATTGTAATATTTCACAACATTTCTAAACGTCAATTTGTATATGTAAATCTCAGAGATTTATTATCTACATACGTACACAAATAACAAAGAAATATAGGAAGAACAACAGTTTGTCAAGAATTAGATAAGTATCGAGGCAAGAAAGTTCCCATTTTGAGATGTGACGAAGTCTACCCTGATAATATTTTATTAACTGCGGGGTGACGGCACGCTGGGGTGGTGAGGGAGTGTGAAAAATTCAACATCACAGCCGCGCTTCGGATGTTGCCGTGTAGGACGTGGTATAGGCTTTTTAACATGCATTTTTATGCCCCAACCTACTCAATATATTTACAGATTCGTTACATTTCGTCATCCTGCCTCATCTAAAAGAGTAGTGATTTTTTGATATATAAAACTTAGCCCCGCGTAGGTGCGTTTACAAACTTGCAATTTCAGATACGCATAACACCCAGACCCAGCAACAATTTGTGGATCACTCAAAGAATTGTGACGTGCGCGAAAAGAACCCGCGACACGTTAGGCGTTGCGCGGCGGCTAATTGCCAAATTAAATATGCAACAAACATTGAAGCGATGTTACCAAAGAAAACTAATACACCAAAGCTAATAAAAAGAAAAAAAATCTTATCGTATTAAGTATTTAGGTAGTTAAGGCGAATGAAATAGTACTTAAGTAAATCTTTCAATTAAAACTCCCGTTCGTTATTTCCATTAAAACGCATTGCAAATTGTATGCCTTTGCTAATTCCTTAAAAGTACTTAATATTTATTTTACATGCTGACCTATACTTAATAAATAAAAAAGGAAACTACAGAATTTAATTGAAAAGCACTGCAGTAATAATACGCAACACTATCACTGATTCGACAAAAAATGAAAAGTACCTAAGCTATTTTTGTGACGATATATAAATTACAAGTATCCATGAAATTAATCGCGTGTTGAAATCGGAAATCCTTTAGGGAATAGAGATCCGTGCGTAACAGAAAGCCCTTATAATTGCCAATTTGTAAACGGAATGCATCGATTAATAGTGATTTTTTATATTTAAAACGATCAAAAATTACCTATAATAAGTAGATGAAATAGCTACTTTGTATTGCAATTTAATGTAAAGGACTAGCTCAAAACCTTCTTTATGGAAATAAAAAAAAACGATTATAAGAGATGGTTATACATTGGATTTATCGCAAAATAGAAAGAAGGATATACATCGGAAGGCAGTAGTTACTGGCATTAAGTGTAAGTGGTGGCACAGGTTACGGTATGTGGCGTCATCAAGTACCCGTTTGCCTAGACGGGTCACTTTCACCAGAGGAATACATGTAATTACGGAACTGAGCGGTTTAATGTGTATTCGTAGTGCAACAGCGATACCTGCGCGACTTCTTACATAACTCGTTTAAGATTGTAATCACCTCCATGTTCAGTAAGGTTGTACCTATCGATGAATATTGAACAAACGTGGGCTCGTAATATGAATTTAATGTTCAATCTTGCAGCGCGCGTGAACACCGGTAACATGTCAAGAGCTCGCTAAATCAATCATGACGTAAAACGCTGTGTTGCATATTATAAGCGAACGACGAATCTTATCGATGCACGCAGTCATTAATTGTTAGAGCTTATCAGTACTTGGTACACATTAATTGCATAATATTGGTAGTAGCATATCAGGTAGCATGGATCGCCGCGCCGCAGGACGTGCCCGACGCGCTCAGACGCCGACAATTTTGTTCTCCTCAATTATGTTCCGGTAAATGCATACGCCACAGTTCAGGTTCAGGTAGAGCTATTCAAAATTTTCATGTAAATTGATAGACAGAGTGAAGTTTAATGAAGTTCGGCAGGAGTGTGATAATTATTTATAAAACGAATTACGTCTAGACGTGTAGGTGGTGATCGAAGTAATTTGACGCGGCTTATTCCCTAACTGACAGCTTTTGTCGCACGCCATTGAGAGTTATTCAGGTTTGACCTCACACGTCTGCATTGTATTAACAAACACTTAATCTTATCTAGACTTGCAACAATAGACTAATGGAGTAATCGAGTAATGGTCTAATGGGGTATCGACATATGATATTCAAAGTTATTTCTAACAGGCAACTGTTACTAGTTCGTCAATATTGTTGAAAATAGAAATGTTATTTCAAATATTGTGTTCGAATATATGCGACGTGTTGGTTTTGATGCTGTGCACTGGACCTCGCCTGGTGACTGTCACAACACACTTTGACAAAGTTTGAAACGTCATAGTTTGCAGCCGGGCAACTAGTATTTTTCCAGTTTAAAATTAAAAACATTTTTTATTGATCAACTAGCCTGTATCCGTGTGCGGCATTAAAGACGTAATAATTAATGTCCAGTTGACCTGAGCAGCTATCCGTCAGTCAATCGATGAATTGGTTTCTTGACAAATACTTACTTCACTTGCTTTGTCATCGTCAAGCATTTTATTTATATTAATAAATTAGGAAGACATTTCCCTAAAAATAAATGTTAATTAATTTACAAAATTAAACCTCTCAAGTTCATTGAGAGGCTTTTGTTAAACCGATTAAATGACAAAAATAAACTAGGTAATGCTGAAAATGAGTCAGGTGCCATTCATAAGGTAAAAGAACATTCTGATGATAGCCAATGAATGTATATAAGTATATAATTGAAATCACACAAAGAGGCGTCGCTGAGGTCGTGAAAATAACACAGAAGTGGGTGTAAGACTGCTGTATATTTCGGTCCTGACACCGGAAAAGTGATACCTACTTACTTCTGATATCAAGTTAACAAGCTTCCTCTTTCCCTTAATATAGATATGAAACGTTTATTGCATTTAATCCGATTAACGCCAATTAAATGTTTCGCTCATTATCACAGAAAGGTTTCAAAGAATATAAGCTTTGCGAAGGATGCAATTTATTTCCTTTGATATTTTAATACTAATAAAAGGTGGAACAAACGTTCCTAGACTAAGTACCTACTTTATTTGTATTGATTGCTGAGTATTTATGAAGTTATTGGAAAGGAAATAACTGATAGCTCGTTGATGAAGATTACGAGTTTGTGAGGATTCTGAGTAAGTCTGGCTACGTAAAGCTTAGGCTAGAATGTAACAGATTTTTGCACATTACATCCTATTTATGTCAACGTCGATCACAGTATCTGATTCATATGTCGTACGCTTCATCATTGGTCATCGTACGCTTTCACGGTGCGAGCAATCCCGTTCTTAAGAAAGTAGACTAACTTTTAACGTATAATTCACTTGTACCAAATTAATTGGGCCAGACATCAGTAATGGCAAATACATTATAAGTACTGTCAAGTCTCTAGATTCTAGGGCTCATTGACACGAATGACCTTAAAGTAACATAAAAAAACGTTAGAAAGTTTTTATTAGGTATCTAAGTAAATATAATCTCTTGCATAAGGGTGCGGGTTCGAAATTTGGCAAGTGCAAATGTGACTTTTTCTGAGATATATAGGTATGTACTTTCTTTGATTATGAGACGCGTGGTGATTAATTGTTTATCCCTTTCCTCAGGCTCCTTCCCTCCTTCTTGGGAAGAAGCTTTTTCTCAACAGTGGGCACATATAGGTTGACGATGTTTGAAGTAGGTATACCTACACTACTGCTCAGATAATATGCGACCAACTAGCAACCGTATTTATGCAGGTAATGTTATGTGTCTTAATCAGAAGTCTGGAGGCACCGAGCCCCTTAGTAGAGGGATGTACATTGTACATGTTAGAGTCACATCTAAATATAACATATTCTACTGTAACTTGAACCCTGGTACCGTACTAATGATATGACAACGCGGTTCTAAAGCACGATGTCCTCATTAGGTAGCTCCTAAGAGCGGTTATGACATTTTCGTTCTCCCACTATTACAGCTTTACATTTAAATTAATGAAAAACCCGAAAAATATTACGTTTATTAAACATTTATTAAAAATATCTTGAAATCCTACTAAACTACATAAAACTGCTACTGGGAATGATTATAAGTAAGAAGGGACGGATCCATGGATGTTTGTTACTCTGTCTGACAGATTTTAGTGTAGAAAACACATGGGTCACTTTTGACCATCTAATATGTAGGTTTAGTCACGAATGGGTTGGCTCCACGGCTTCACAGAAAACTGGCGTGAAACAACCACAGCGTTGTGTTTCGCCATGTGAGTGTGATTACCTGAAGCCCAATCCTTCTCCAAAACGGTGCCGATAACTTACACTGATTTTAATCCGTCGATCACCTAAAAAATGCGTACTTAATAAATGTAATAATTAGGTATATCTATGTAATTACACTTTATTATTACTAACTAATCTAAGTTCCATAATGGCTTCTAAAGGTACGTATGTATATATGTTTTACATTTGGAGTCTCTTAAAGAAAATTTAATATCCCATTAAAAATTCAAAGGAAAATTTAGCAATTCATTTCACTGAAACCACGTCGTTGTGAATGTATGAGCTTACTACATATGTTCTAGAAAGTTGTGTGTCGAACCAAGTTCCTTAATAGCGATGCATTTATTTTAATACGTATGAACTAATTTAATATTACTAATAATTGATTGTTTATTCGTTTCAACGCAATAATCTGTGGCAGCTCATAGCAAATACCTAATTAAATAGGTGCTAACTAATTATGTAATGTAGTATAAACGGATTTTGGTTAAATTCGCGTAATATAATGGAAATTACTAATTAGTACACGCGAATGTGGTAAAAGCTGGTATTAATAGAGCAAAAAATAATCAGCAATTTTGATTATCAGTGTTGTAACTGTTGTAAATCCCCACTGTTAATCGCCATGTTTGCTCAAAACGGATTGGCGATTTCAAACGTATTATTCGACATTATAAGTCCAAATTTCCTCACGACGTTTTCTTTCTCCGTATATCGGTGGTTTCAAAATTTTCTTAGACAGTACATTGAACCCGGAAAAAGTAATTTTGGTATCTTGTGAATCTAGACACTGATTAGTAGGTATTAACGAAATATATATTCAATTTACTCGATTGATTTCTCCTTCAATTTTCGAACCAGGGTGTCTTTATATAGAATCTCTATTGTCCTAAATATAGAATATCTATGGTTGTCCTGGAAAACAGACTGACGCCTGGTAACTAAGATATCAATTTGGAACAAATAGTATCATCAATATTTCTTGATATTCTCGTCAAAGCTATTCATAACGTTATTTTTCATACATTAGCCTGTTTATTTTACCTCATAGAAAAAAATGTTCAACTCAGACTTTTGAATGTTACTTTTAATTGATATATAATTACTTATGTAGTTATAATAACGTAATTAACGTTAAATATATTTATGTTACGTCACATAAGATATGAGGTCGTGGTGGCCAGAAGGTTAAGGAGGCCGCTTCTCATGCATGAGGGTTCGAAACCTGGCAAGTACCAATGTGACTTTTTCCGAGTTATATGTACTTTCTATGATTATTTAGATACCACTGACATACGGTGAAGGAAAACATCGTGAGATAACCTGGACTTATAATTTCTAATTACTTATAAGTTTGAAATCGCCAACCCGCATTGAGCAAGCGTGGTGATTAATGCTCAAACCTTCTCCGTTTGAGAAGAGGCAGCAGCAGTGGGCACTTATAAGCTGATGATGATGATGATGATGACATAAGATATTTTTCGGAGCAATCACTTGGACGAGACGAGAAATTAGCTATCGAATAAAATACATCATCTTTATCAACTAATTCCGTCCAATGCTGGACATAGGCTTCTCCAATCACACTTCACTGAGCTCGATGATCAGCTCTTCTCATCTAATCACTGGCAGGCACCGTATTGATATCCTCAGTCCACCTACCCCGGAGAGCGCCCTTCGCTACACTTTAATCGTATAAAATACATTGTTAGGGATACGTTGTAAAAAGAAAGTTTTACTTCGTAAAGAATAAAATGCACTAAGCCAGTATTACCCAAGAATCTAAACGTATATGTCCAATAAATTCAGATTATTTTAATGAATATATCACGAGTCAATTCTGCTTATGTAATACTTAGATTACGTGATCAAAAATGATGTATGTGTTCGTTAAACTTTGAACTGAAGAATGTTGTACAAATCTATCGACCTGTGTTACATAATATCGTTCGTTTAAATTTCCTGCCAGACCTTTACCAGTAGCCGTGATTGCTTCAGGCAATCCGCGCTGCACCGCCTTGTTATGTACTTAAAGGTAAATCCAAGGAGATCAGTTAACACGGCTTGTATTTACACCACTTCATTTATTCTTTATTCAAAAAAGGAACTAAAGTTTTCTCGACGTTTCAACCAAAGTAAAAAAAAAAATTGAATGCTAATAGTTGAAATTGTAAAAAAAATCGAATGCCTATAAAAATGTCTATAATAATTAGCAGGAAACACGACTGAGAATACTCCGGTGTCAATCTAACGGTTCTCGATAACAATTAAAGCGAAAGTAAACAATCTCGCTTCGAAGATGTTTTTTATTGGAGATTTTATCGAACAGCTTGCACAACCAAGCTTTGTTTATTCGATGGAAACCAGAAACCTTTCAAATAACAATCGATTTAGTACTAATCACGTATTCTTAAACCTAAAAAACTAATTTCATGTTACACCTTGTTGACGTAATCAATAAGTGCGCGTCTACCTGAACGTGATTTGTGTTCTCATTATCGCCAAATGCATCGGTACCATATTCGTTAAAATCGGCTTAGCTGATTTAGGTAGTTAGTGATTTCAACTCGAAATATGTACCGGCTAGCGTTCTGAGCAATGAACAGACAGGCATTAGGAACAATTGTGTTTCGATATTTTAGTAATGTTGGACCCCGGTGAGGTACCTATACGATTTATTTTTCATTCAAGTCATGTTAGATTCATTGGTTTTAGCTCGCCCTGAATACAAAAGACATGAAATGCGAATCTAAAATCGAAATTTACTCCAGATGCTATGACTGGTAAAGGATTGGTAGATTACTGTAAGCGTGGTAAAGTCATTGGCCGCCTTTTTGTGTAGCCGCTGTCTGGTGAACACATTTTCTATGTAACTCGTGTGTACTTTCGACTTGCATACGCACGTCCTAAAACCGTACGATCGCATTTAAATGCAGGACGGCGACTGGCTTTTGTTTTCAATGGACTTTACGCCCAGTACGACCACTAGCGACATCAGAAAACTGATTAAGAACTAGATAAAATTATAAAAAGTTGGTGTACACGAACACGTCCAGTAAAGAATAAATCCTATATGAACTTGAGACTGTAATCCCTAGTGTGTTACGTAAACACGCTGAACTAAAACAAGCTGGATTAAAAGTTTAAGTTTTATAAATAGTGACAGTATGGCACGTCCACCCAGTCCACTAATCATGTAAATGCTGTCTATAATAAACTTCATATTGAGCTAAAAATAACTTTTCCCGGCAAAATATTTTCTGCTTACAAGCTCGTAAATAGTCTGTATCCATAGATACTTCCTGGTAATTAGTGAGAGCAAGGAGGGCGTGTTGTTATTGTCATGTGAAACGTATATACTTTCTCAAATCATTGTGATTCGTATTTAATAACGTGGGAATGCGTAAATACCCTCTCTTAATGTTACCAGTTAGAAGTACCTAACTTAGAAGATTTACACGATTTCACCAACAAGTCGATGATGCAACGTAGCGATTTGTAAGCGTATTACCAACATCGAATATCGATGTATTTATCGAATAAATACATCGTAGTAATTCATAATAATTAAAGTTCGCTTTGTGAAACTGAAATAAGTACTGATTTTATAATTAATTAAATTACAAATATTTTAATCTTAATTTCGGAGTATGTTGAATTTAAATGACTTCTTATTTTTTATGTATTAAATTATCTCAAATGATAATCAATATAAGTTAAACTTTCATTAACAAAATATTCATTAGATGTGCGTACCTATAGCTACTTTCGTTGTAGGGAAACTTATAACAAGTCGAAGACAATTATTGTTATAATGAATAATGCTACTTTTATTTTGATTATGTTAGTAAATGAGGTCTAAAGACACGTCCGCAGGACATGTCTGATTGTTATTAGCCAGTAGGCGAGTAGACGTTGTTGTCAACTGACCACTTGATACCTATTTGCTCATCGCGAATCCTAATCGCCTACACAAGACGGAATATTCAACGCCCAATGGCGTTTGTATGTAATATAATATTTGTCTAATAATATTACACATATATAAGTAAAATGTAACTTCTACGTGCTAACACGACGAATTCGTACTATTAACCTGCATGATTCGTAAACCAATTTAAATACAAAACAATACAAAAACGGATATTTGGATGAGCGTCAATACTATTTTTATATTTTGCTAATGTATCTGATTACTTGCTTTCAGTCAGTCCGTTTTCGAGTTTTGTAAGCATAAATTTAGATATATATACATATTATATATTATGTATGTCATGATGACAAATACGCGTTGTTTGCTGTCGAAACAGCACAATAAGTGATCGAGTCATTATATTGTGCAACAGCAGGACATTCGTGATTCTCGAGTGAAAGTTTGCAACTCAACAATTTACCATACGAAGACAAGTCTTTGAGAACGTATGCATTTATTTATTAACATAATTAATTTGGTACAAAACTTGACTTTTAAAATTTTTCTTTGTACGGACAAAGTAAAATATTTTTAATGGAAATAATATACCTTGTTACTTTTATGTATCAAGGAAATAATTGCAAAGGAATGAAGGCAGTACCAGACGAGAGTTGCATGCCATGTAAGCCTGGTAAATCGGGAACACTGCAACCTTTGTAATATCCAGAGCTAAACCATATTATCTTGTGTCTCAGATCATTTTTATTATAGTGCACGCGCTCTCAAAGGCAGAGGCTACATGCCATATTTCATCAACGTTTATTACACATACATAAACCTTTATGAACACACTCTATACATTTCTTCTGTTTTAAGAAGCAACAGTTTATGTAGACATTCTCTGTTTTCACGGCAATTAAAAATGTTAACTCTAGTTTGGATAAAATATGTTCCTATTACTTGCACTTTGCATTGGTATTATGTAATTTCGTAATAACATTGAATTTGCCTAAAGGTGGTATGTTAACTCTAACTACATAGAGTTCAATATTAAAATCTATAGAGATAAAACGTTGACTAAGTATCTTATAAATAATACACATAAAGTAATAGTATCTATGCACAGTAATTTAAATATTTATAAAACTACCAAAAACATCCTGGCAGTTAACCTTTGTAATATACCCATGTCATATTAATTTCACGATGCACTTGCTTTCGCCAACTTCGAAATTGAAATCACAGTTTTACTTAAAAATAGAACTAAAAATCACGCTGTTCGATATTCGCTGTTTGAAACGCCAAACTACACCGTCGAAATTGAAGTGTCAAAAGCAATTTTCAAATAAAAAAATGTATCATAACAGTGGAGACACACCCTGAGAAACAAAACAGTAGTTGTGGTCGGAGTAGCTACTTACTCAGTCACTGATATTGTCTGCCATTTTTTTTTTCGTAAACATGTTCGTTGTGTATCGAATCGCCAGTAAACACATACATAAACCGCGATTACATTTTAAAGTTTACTTACTCCTAAATTGGTTCTCATGCATACAATCGTAACTAGTTACGTCACAATGTACCTACGCTAAGTGGGATACGTTTCAAGAAGGATTACAAATTGTGATCATTCTAACAATAGTTTGAAAACTCGGTTGCAGTCATTGAAACTGAATGTCGCTTATTCCTTGTTGTTGGTCTCATGAATTTCAGCAATTTGTAAATTTTTTGTGGTTCTGTACATCTAGCTGTTTATCGCTAATCTATCAAAATGATGTTTATTTTCTTTTTGGGCTTGAGGTCCTCCTACTACAACCTCTAGTTTACCAAGTACCTACAATGGTTTATTGAGTAAGAGGCGGAGGTACATAAGTACTTGCATTCTGGTAAACAAATTGCGAAATACGCATAGAAGACACATTCGAGAAATTACTAGAAATATTTCATAAAGCTGTGTGTACGTAATACTCAAAGGTGGAAGAGGGTCAAGTAGATGTAAGAGTTAGTCAGTGACCGCAAATGCTTGCACATTCATTTATATAAAATGTGGTAAAATGATTTGAGCAATCTAAGAAAATTCATTAAATTTAAGTAAATGGATGTGGCAGACTTCCTATACATCCTAAACCCAGCTCCCACAAAGTCCACCAAGTTTGACGTAACTTCTAATAGGTACATATATCTTTATCCTCTTCAAACAAAATAAATTCATAAATTCATTAAGCCGAGTGAAATTTCGAAAGTTCGTTAATTAATGTAATGTGCATCTCAAATATAAAATGGCTCGCTAGTCAAAAAGAGATGAAAGCAGATAAAGTGTCTAGTTTCTGCATCTCTTTATAAACTTTAACCGCGGCCAGACATTTGTCGCAATACGCTTAAAATACAAAGTTTCCTCTTTGTATATTAATTTACATACAACCTTTTGAAGTAAACTGAATTTCAATGGACATTGCATCGCATATAAACTTTCCTGTTTCAATAACATTCACGGCAAAGTTAATTACCACAGCGAATGAGCGTGACTTTTGAGTTTATGGCAGTTCGAAATTCAAATCGAGAAAAGTTCGCGTTTAGGAGTTTTTCTTTTTAAATGCATAGATAAAAGACGTCTAGATTTTTCTAATTACGTTTGCTGTACGAAACTTCAATAACAATGTGGCCTAGAACGTTATTGTGGAACACTTTTGTCCACAATTGGAGGTGTCATGTGATATGACAAGTGACCAGACGCGAGATAAACAAGTTAGCTGCGTGCACCGGCTCCATCAACTCTACCACACAACCTTATAACCCTTTTAGGGCTACAATGGGATAACGAATACCCAAATAGCATTCGACGGAACGCGCTGAAAGTGGAATGACGTAAGATAACACAAACAGATTGCCTTCACGTTCCCATTGAGCGACATATGCGTTAAAGTGCAGCACACAACACATTCTACTCGAGTCAACTACAGCACAGTCGTAAATAACTTTACGAAACCTGCAATAATTACAAGCAATCTTATGCTATTAAAGTTTATTTTTATAAATTCTGGTAAATAATTATTGTATAACTTGTTTTGCTCTTCCTTTCTCTAAAAAGTTATGCAAAAAAAACACATTCAGAAATATTTTAATATCGTTACCAAACCAATTAATTGTGTGTAATAGTATAAACCTGAATGTAACAAATTAATTAAAACTGCCACGGAAAGAGATAGCTGTTAACATTTCAATATCGAATAATGTGGCATTGTTGTGTCTGTTGCAAATTCTATGTAAGATTTCCTTACAAGTCGTTCACAATGAGGGATGAGGGTTTTAGTTGCAATGAATAGGCGAGCCATTCATTTGCCTATTAAACAATATCAGACGTATCATTGCTCTGGAAGGGTACTCCATAGAGTGCGGTGAATCATAATATTTAATTAAATCAAGCACTTGAACGGAACATGCAATATTCAACCTTAATGACGTGCCAATTACTCGTAAAAACTCAATAACATGCGTCCGATATTGCATACTCCGAGTAAGGTTGGAGTAATAAATCGGTGTTAATACCGCTGCTGCACCCGCATACATTCAACTAAAGTAAAAAAAGCGATTTAACGATCATAAAAATATTTATATACCTACGTTACGTTTAACGATTTAAATATTTTACGGACAAAAAAGGCTCCGAATAAAATTAAATATTGTGCGTTTTATATATATGCAATTCAAAACAGCACGAAATATTTGTGACAAAATTAATCGCGTCAAAGGAAAAATATATATAACAATTAACATAAAAACAAATGTGCAGCAGTTTAGCTGTTTAACCAAGCAAAACTATGTAAAAATACTTACATATAAAGAAAAAATATAGTTAAAACATTTGATTAGAAAAAAGTATGATGAACATTAAAAGTAATAAGTAAGCAAGTAATAAACACGGGTCTGTTTCTGTTTTTTATATGATAAAGTTTCCTATCAAAGAGCTCGCATTACCTAATTAAGAAACGGAAAACACACTGATTAAAGGACATGCGAGAGACGGAAAAAAACATAGACACGATATTCATTATGGTATGTTTTAAAAGCACTTCGATGCGTTCGCTAATTAAAAGTTAATTGGCAGTATTGGGAGCTTGGTGATGTACTAGCACTTGTGTTCCCTGATAAACCATAATGGATACAGGAGACTGGACTTGCGAACAAAGGCCTGCGGAATAGTGTTGTTCTGCCGTCCGACTTATCTGATATCCCGGTCACATTGGCCAAATATATGGACATTTCGCCTCGGCCACGTTAAATACGCTGTACGTACATTGATATAGGTATGTTGTCTTGTTAATGAAATATGACATGTTAATTTAATACATTTGCGAAGATTTTTATGTTCTAAATAAGGTTTAAGATTGTTAAGTAAGTATATAAACATAAAAAGTTGACTTTAAAATTTTTATTGGAAAACAACAAAATTCTTTGTCATAAATAATAACGATTGTTATACAAAATTTTAATACTTTGAATGTAACTTCAAAATAAAAATAACGTGTTACATAGGTTTTACATTTTTACGATGTATTAATTCGAAAATTTAAGTAAAAGCATATAAAATGATTATAATATTTTTTAGTGTTGTGAACGCTCAAACTTTCGTTAGGCAATATTTTAGATGCTTAGAAACACGCAGCACCATCTAGTTGTAAATAGCAGTACCTTTCGTTTCCATTCAGTTTCGCTACTGACTGTAAGAGGGCACTACTGTACGGAAAATTAAAAGGAAAGTTTTGAAGATACTACATCGACGTGTGCACCTTGGATACGTGAAATGTATGCTACAATAATATGTAAACATAAAGAAAAATAATTGTATAAGAAAATAAGAACATATCCCCAAAAAGCGAGGCTATACGAAATTTTTAAAGTAGAACATTTCGGTTTCAAACTTATATCCAATCGTTTCAATCTACTAAAATGGTGAACAGACATAATGATATACATATCTGTCATTAGGTACACACATATTTGTACTGTTATGAAAAGTTGGATACCAAGCGACGAGTATAAACTATTTTAATACAAAACTATACGAAAATAGACTTTTCCAAAGCTAGTTACAACTTTGTGCTGAGCTTGCGAGAGTTAGAAGCAGTCCTTAGTGCGTATATTTTTGTATTTGTTACGTAACGTTCTTAAAGCTAGCCTTTTCAGTAAAAGTGGGGTTTTTAGAAGATAATCATTCATTTACTAGGGGTTTATCTTACCTGCACGTGAGGTTGGCTTTATTAAAGTGACTTTTCATAGTTTTGTGCTTCCTAAGCTTATTTAGCCACTCTTACAAACGGTAAAGGAAAACATCGTAAAGAAACCTTAACTGAATTTCTAATTATAAGTTTGAAATCGTCAATCGGCCTTAAGCAGGCGTGGTGATCAATTGTCAAACCTTTTCCATGTGCGAAGAGACCATTGCTCAGCAGTGGGTAGTAAAAGACTGATGGTGATTTTATGAAATAGTATTTTTGTTTATTGTGAAGGGAAAAATGCGTTTGACCTCTATCACGCTTGATGGAAAGCAATGATGGGGTCCAAGGTGGAACACGCTAACTCAAAAAATGCCTATTGACTCTTGCCTTGAAAATCTCTAAATCGTAGGTCTCTGGGAACATTAATATCAACGTCTCAACATTGAGGGCTTGTAGTCAATAATTTTACCTTCAGTTATAACTAAAATAATAATATATAACTATGAAATAACTGCAGATACATCAGTGCACCGTAATCATTATAAATATAGATAGATATGTGTGTACTGTTAGCTAAGAAGGCTACGAATGCTACGGTTCTGGTTACGAAAGCTACGAGAATGCTACGCAAGTCAATACCGATTAATGGATGTATCGGGATTAATCCTGTCGAATACATCCTCTACGTTGGAAATTATAACTACCTATGTAATACCGTGGCACTCAAATGCAGAGTGTCTTGAGTGGGTTTGCTTTACGCTAATACAGTCGGCATGTTTATGACGCTTGCTTCAAGTTAACCAACCAATCAGATTGCTAAAAGCGGTAACGTTTCTACGTAAAGAAAACTCGCACTAGGCGCTCAGAGAGTACGCTCAACATAATAGTCTAATATGTATAGGTATACACTAGTGAATGTTCTATATATTAATTATTATAAATACGTTTGACGCCGGTGGTTTAAAATCAGAATCTGATCTTAATATACTTACCAAAACTTTTCTGAAGAATCATACTACTCCTATACAAAAAATCACCCGTCACTTTTTTAATTTTTTGCGTTTACAGTCATACACAGAGGCGTTTTTGTTTACAAGAAAATTTAACGTGCCTACACAGGTAGACAGATTATACTAAGTAGATATGTTTTTATATTGATTATGAAGCTATGTTTGCTCCATTAGTATGTAAATACAAATCAAATTAGGAGGTGCCATCTAGTTTTCGACCCCACAACTTCTTGTTTAAGAATCGGCCACTTAGAACTCCTTACAGCCTCAACAACTTAAGTAATAAAATTACTTTATTATTAATTTAATAATGTGCCATGGTGTGATAATCAACTGGTTCCCATTTACCCGGTACTTTTGAACTTCCAACATAACATTTAATGAATGTTAACTAGATTACCTAAATATATTCAACCAGACTAATACTTATTAGACAAAACAATCCAAAACCGCGACGTCCAATCTGATACTAAACTATAATAGTGGTGATTTTTGGGATCAAATGTTTTGTAGAGGAAGATCGATTAGGTATATAGCCCTAGACTCTCTCAGTGGATGATGATGTAGTTGATGCAGATATTGATGTGATCCTAGTACGTAAGGAACTTATACAAATAAGAACGCTGTTTTAAAAATAATTCCTTGATTGTTCACAGCTTTGACCGCGATCAACCCTTCACTTTCCAAATCGGCGTCGGTCAGGTGATCAAGGGATGGGACCAGGGACTTCTTGACATGTGTGTTGGTAAGTAAACTGCTCAGTCTCGTCACTGCTTGGCAACCGACTACACTTCAGCAACGTGTGGCGGGTTCGATTTCCGCTTACAACCTATTTTTTTGTGATCCACAAGTGGTCGTTCCGTCTTCATAACAAAATAGGAAAAGCTAAAGTGTTACATTTAAAAAGAAATTATCCGAGAAAAGCGTCTGTTGCTTTAATTAGTTGGTACACAGCGCGCCCAGTAACTATATCTAAATAGAGCAGGGCGGCACCGTGTAGCGGGGCGGAGCCCCACGTGGGCGCTTCTAGTTCCCTATAATTCCGCTTGCCGCGTCACCGCACCCATCCTCGGAAGTGTGTCCAGCGCCGACGGCCTGCGCAGTAACTGTTTTTTAGGTATCCCTGGGGACAGGGGCTAGGGGACTGTGGACGTCTAACGTAAATGTCAACAACCCCGCGCATCTTTACCGCGCAGCAGCCGCGATGTGATCAGTCAAACATTAAATTTAATGCAAGCGTGTATGCATATCAGACACAGATGAATCCATTTTGTGAAAATCAAGACTAATATTTGGTGATTTTATGGAAAAGTTTTTGGTTTCTGGACTGGACTCAGCAGCAATCGTGGATATCGTGGAGTGAATTTATTTTATGGATTGTTGTGATAGAGTGTTGAATTGTGTTATTTGTTTTTGTTAGTTTGTTGGGTTCAGAGCCGGGACTCCGGCACTCGTTTACATAAAATGGCGTCATCACAAATAAATAATTATCAATACATTATGGATAGCGATATTACACCTGAGGTTTTAATAGCTATGAGAACTGAATATTACTCGAAGCTTCCGACCACCTACACGTCGGAATGTTCGAGCGGAAAAAAAATATTTATGTGCAACATGGCGAGTCAGGACTTTGTAAATATAGTTCTGCAACGTATGAGAGGGGTTGGGGCCGAATTTGAAGGGCACACCACTGATAAAATGGCTTTGAAAATTGATCTTGAGCATTATAAAGTGGTCAATGTTAAACAAAAGGAATGGCTAGTGAAAAACATTTGCGGTCACGATAAAATAATCGTGCCATGGGAGGATTCATTCGAGATCGTCTGGAAATTACATCTTGAAAACGCCCATCCAGAGCCCGCAGAGCTTATGGACATAATGCAAAAAGACTACTTAATAAACAGAAACACAATAGAATGCATTAGCGAAGTGTGCCCGGTATGCCACGGCGACAATCAGCCAAATGTAAAATATACGTTGGACATCATACCAATGTGTACTGATCCCGATTTTTTGTACAGCAACATCTTAGCTTACGAAGATGTCTTTACAAAGTTCGTCCACTTACGGCCAATCTACAAAGACCTATCAATTGACGAACTGAAGGTCGAACTGATGCGAGTGTTCATGGATTTTGGACCGCCAAGGAAAATTTTGTTAAGCCACCCCGTGCTAACGGAAGCCCTGGCCAATGTAAAAGATTTTAGGCACAATTTCGATTTTGACGTCATTGTAAAAAAAGTTCAATTAGATTTTGACAAAATAAATCGTCTTAAAGCATCAATAAGTAAGTGGATGAGAGACAACAAGTCGAAAAAATGGGGGATTAATATTCATAAAATCGAATGGGAGCTTAATAACAAGATTAATGGAAGAGACCACATGTCTGCGAATTCTAGAGTGTTCGCCGTCAAACTAATGAGAGCTGAAAGAGAGAAGTTGAATTTAAAAAACCAGGCTATAGAAAATGTGGCTACGCCAAGTTTTTACAGTCGACGTGATCCCGTACTGCCCATTAACATTACTCCTGCAGATGACCCGGACGACACTTTTTCTTTTGATATGGATGACAACTTGGTAAATGTAGTTGCGACTACTTCTACAGAAGAAAGAGATTCCCTAACATTTGAAGAAGACAATATTTTCCAGAACGATCTGGTTACTGATGGACAATTTGATATACCAATGTTCAGCGGTGGAACAGATATCGATATATTGCAACAGGAGACAGCTCCACAGAACTATGAATACCAATTGTCAGAGGAAATGGAAGAAGAAGCTCCTCCAGCAACCGAACAAACTGAGCAAATTGCCGTAGGGCTACCGACTGAAGGCTTTTTAGCTTACACATTAAACACAACCAACCCTAACACACAAACCCCAGGATCGACATTACTTTTGATATATAAAGCGCCATGCACCCAGGTCTATCCCGCTGGATCGGAATATTTTTGATTAGACAATCAAGGATGTACAGCCACCAATCAAGAGATGGCTAGTATTCCTGAAGTAAACCACTCGAATAACATCATGCTCTGGGATGAAAGTATTTTTAGTGGTGATAACTACGAGGGATGTGATGGTTCGGTGCCTACTGAGGGGAGAGAAAATACGGCTGAAGAAAATGTGATAGTAGAACGTACGGTTATGTTTAATTACCTACTCACAACCTTTTTCTAAGACCATGTCACTTACTCTTATGGTTGTTATGGGCCAGTTTTTTGGTGTATTTGTGTTGACAGTATTAATTGTGTGTTTCAGGTGAGAAACGCAAACTGACCATCCCATCCTCTCTGGGTTACGGCGAGCGCGGGGCCGGCAACGTGATCCCTCCCCACGCTACCCTCCACTTTGATGTGGAACTCATCAACATCGGTGACTCGCCCCCGACCACCAACGTCTTCAAAGAAATCGACGCTGACGCCGACAACATGCTGTCCCGCGAAGAAGTGAGTATAGAGTTAGCGTTCCAAGCCATGGATACCGATGGAGACAAAGAATTATCGCGCGAGGAGGTCAGTGCCGTTGGCTCAGGTGAAGGATGGTACTCTTGGCCTTAACTCAGTGTCCCGTTAACTTATCGTTGCCGAGTTACAATTCACGAACACTCTTTTTGTACTAGACAACACTGAACAGTAGTTTCATCATAAGTACCTATTCTATCAGTATATTGTTATGTATTTACGATCTTAAATCACTTGCTCTATCTACCTCCTTACCTGTCTATTTAGTAATAAACATATGTCCCAAAATATCTATTTTCCGTACGACGTGTTTGTCAGTATTCAGTTGTATAGTGTATATGTTTATATGTTTAGACTAGGAAAAAGTACAATCACAAGTAACTAATAATTTTCTTTGTGTAGTTATCCTCTTTCGAATTGAAGTTATATTCATATCATACTATGTTATTTACAATAGTTACAACACAAGACAAGACTAGGTAATACATATATTGAGAATATAATGAAAACGCTTAGGTACCTACTTATGAAAGTGATTCCTAGTAACTAAATATTTACTTAAATCATTGAGCAAATGATAAGTTATCGAGATTGCATCGTGTGCTATACTTACCTGCAAGAATCTTAACAAAACTGGCGTTATGGTAATGGCTGTACAGATTCACTGATACTTATCATTCTACTATTCCTTTTGTGAGGGCCAAGACAAAATTAGTTCAAAGAAAGTTTATTGATTTAAGACGATCGGTAACATCTCATGTATGACATATATATTCTCACAAATGTAATTATTTTTGTAAGACATATAATGTTTTCGAAAGCGATTCAAATATCTATATTCTAGTAGTTGCCAGGTTGAGTTAGCCAAATACCAGTATAAAAAGAACGATTAGTACCTTGTCTTTGGGCCAAACAAAGGACTCTTTTGTATATACTTACTTACCTACCTACCTTCAATACCTTAATTTTCTGTTCTGTGTTCAATACATATACTTCAGTTATCGAACTATCAAATTTCGATTTAAATTATGTAAGTAGGTAAACATAAAATTCTAAATAATATTAGCATGACATATAAGTACTTAGTCAGGTGGCAAGGAAAATAATAATGCATGAATTTTTTCAAAGCTAATTAATTCTGTATACTGTAATATTATGTTTTCCATAGTAAGTGTACGTAATAGCATAAAGACGTGGTGAGTTCCTAGGTGGGAGTTGGATCGATATAAAATTATAAGTACCTGGGTACAATTTAACATTTTGCATGTCATATTTTATAACGAAGTGGGCAAAAAGCCGTCGACTGAATTGATAATAAATTATATTTTTAGTTTTCCAAGGTGGCACAGGACAAAGTAGTTCTTTTCGTCGTCGAAATAAAGAGGTAGATGAGGTGGTTTTAATTTTGTTAAAAAATAACCGAATTAATTCTCATTTTAAATTTGATAGGTAGCATTGCATGTTGAGCGTTAGACATATTTGAAACTTCGATATTAAAATTAAAACAACAATTTCTTTTTTAATAAATGGCAACACAGTACTGCCGTACCGCATAGCATCTTCTGAGCTCGTGCTTGCATAACACTGTTTCTATCTGTATAAATTAATAAATGCTTAACATTTGTAAATATAACATAAATTGTTACTTGTAAATAAATTACTTTTAAATAAATTGTTATGACTCGTAGTACGAGTATACTCCCTAAATTTATCAAATGTAAAAAATAAACCTCTGTCTGTTAAAAATAAATCAAATTAGTCTTAGAGATCTTGAAATTCGGCTAAAAATTTGATGTAAAAATAAGAATATACAAGATAGAAATACTATGGAACTCAATAGGAAAAATATTTATAATTTTTGACCTGAAGTCAATATTTGTAAATTTATGCCCACAGGTCAGCGAGTACTTGAAGAAACAGATGGTTCCGTCCGACGGCGCCGAGATGAGTGACGACATCAAACAGATGCTGGAGAGTCACGACAAGCTTGTAGAAGAGATCTTCCAACACGAAGATAAGGATAAGAATGGATTTATAAGCCACGAGGAATTCTCAGGGCCAAAACATGATGAACTCTAAAAACCTAATTATTTAACGTAGAAAACTCGCTCCCGCGTCAATACTGATTTCATATTTAGCGCAGTGACGGGAGACGAGCGTGTAAGTTGTGAGTGCGATTTAATAAGTGTCTACAGATAATTTATACCCAGTCATAAGTAAATTCACAATAGTCCTGCGATGTATTGATGTCGATCTACGGATCCAACTTTGTGTAGAATTAGTAAGTTTTAAGAGTCATTTTAATAAATTTTTGTTGAGTCTTTTGTACTTAGTTTATTTACTTATGTTGTTGGTGTCATGGAGTTTTGTTGTTTAGAGTATGTTTAATTAGTAGGTGTAACTACTTACTTTTATGATTTACTTCTGTGCGATATTTTTTTAACTTTCTGCATAATATTTCCTATCGATGTCTATTTTGCATGTAATTATAACTTTTAATGGTCAACAGAATAATCATTATAATATAATAAATGTAGTAGATTGAACCGTATGATAATCTCAATGTTTAAACGTCATATTTATTGGAATGTCCGATTATATATCTAAGTAATAGTTAAGTCGTATCTATCCACAGGAGAAATTAAAACTCCTATACATAATTAAATGCATAATCATATTAGAATGATACAAAACTACAGCACTTCTCCAATATTTTTGTTGACTATACCTATTCTGTATATACTTTCTTGCTCAAATACTCCTTCGTTTCTCGTGTTCGTATGTCCTTAAATTGTCAGCTTCAATGCAATTTCATTTATTTCAAGCCTGTTATGGGAACTTGAATTATTTGTTTGTAATACTTACCTTTGAAATGTAACATTAATTTAAGAGCGTACGTCGTAAAAGACAACGATTACCTACCCTGTTCGACGTTCATTCCGCTGTGGTTTAAATAAACTTATTTATACATTTACCTACCAATAATGTTGTTTCATTTATAATACCCGATCCGTTTTGTTATTGTTATTTTGAAGAATTTATTTTTCATCCCACTTCATTGTTTTCTCGTAAGACTACTTACTTCTATTTCTAGCTACCTTAAGTAGCCACTTGAGACACAATCAGTTTATTGATTGTTATTTTGTCTGCCAGACATTAGTCTTAAAATTATTTTCATTTTAAATCAATAATTGGTTGGCTGTATGTATACACTCCACTGAGTATGCTACGTGCTACGTACCGTTAGGTGCATTGTGCGAAGTAGTGTTGCCCAAATTCAGTCTTGGTCTTGCAGTCTTGGTCTTGTTCTTGCGGTTTTGCAAGACCAAGACCAAGACTGGCTAAGTCTCGTCTTGTTCTTGCATTTGGGCAACACTAGTGCGAAGTGTATCGCACTTGCCACTAAACGCGTAGCGCGTAGTGCGTAGCAATAGCACGTAGCGTGTCGAAACACGTAGTATTTTATTAAAAAGTAAATCACGCCCATGTACACCCGTCTATGGGCGCCGTTCTGCACCTGAGGAGTCACGACACAAGTGATTTTGAGGGGGTTGTCAGGAATTTGAGGATTGGCGACTTGGGATACAAAGTAAGCCATCAAGCCAATACTTATTTCGGGTATTTTTTCCTAATATTAGATTTCAATAAATTTGTGTCTATAGCATTAAAATTCGGCTGGATCAAAGTTTTACAAGATTTATTTTTTATTCTCTTTGCAATACAAATACCTATTACAATACCTAGGTACTTAGGCAGATTAAATGCATATAAGTATGTTCACCAGCTAAAGTTGGTTTTTCTTTTTTATCGTGTCTAGTACCTAATAAAGGAAAGTATTATACAAACCGAGGCATTATCTTAATTTAAAAAAAAACATTTCCTTTTTCTGAACGCCAGTAAAAGTACCTAAACGGTATTCCTCATTAAACCGCACAGCTCGTAAACCGCCAAATGCTGTACTGGCAAGTTTGTAGCTATGTCTGAATAAACTACTCCCTTAATCAGAAGCGACCCACTGTTAGAACTGATAGATTATTTGTTGAAATCTTTATTCAGAACAGATGTCCTCACTGGTCTTCAAGTGCTCACCATTTATCTTTTTGGGGTCCAAGAATTTGCGTTGATCTCTCACCGTTTTTTACAGCTGTAGGTAACACAATTGAATTATTGTGAAAGCCATAAAACAGGCAGCTTCTTGGATCCCACAACTATTTTACCTACTTCTTATTGAAAGACTCCAAATATTTTGCGCAATCTTCCTTAAATTCGAATTTAAAATATGTCCCAGACAAAATACCACTCGAAGTTCTTCGTTGGTCGAATGGTCTTGCGATCAATACCTGGGACGAGTAAATAATATTGCATTTTTATTTAAGCCACGATGACCGAAATAAATTCTTAGTCAGCGATAAAATCAAAAAGAAAATGGTATACTATAATAGAAATGTAATGAAATGGTAAAACTGAACCTTACCTTCTCACCCCGTGTCCTCAGCTTAATTTGTGAGATTTTTATTTATGAGATTTTTATTTAATATCTAACAAATGAGATCAAAAACGCGTCATTAAATATATCGAATTGAACTTTTAATTTAAGCATTTAATTTGTATTGTTTTCTTTCTTGAATAATTAAATAGGTAAGGGTTGCAACTAGACGCGATGTCAGTTTGACAGCAGGCTGAAGACCGTGTTTGTCAGTTAATGTCATTAGTGTCATCGAAGAAGAGTCAAATAGTGTATTGTGCTGTGTTTAGTAAAGCTGGAACAGTTGGTGGTAGTTCTGCAAACCGTGTGAGTCTCTGTAAATTTATATCAATTATGTTTATGTGATATTTTCGAAATGCTGTCCAATAAAAGTTTGGTGGCAGCCTGTGCCATAGCATTCTGCTGCAACGTGGCCCTAATGGTATTGTTTGTAAAGTATAATTCTGGAGAGAAATGCTACATTACAATCGACGAGAAACAGGTGGTAACTTCCATAATACCAGATGATTTCCTTAGCATCGGTATCGACACATCTGAAATAGAACATTACGATAAAATTGAATTTGGCAAGCCGAGACTGCGACAACTTGCAGCAGCATTAGCGCCGGCGCGTCTGCGCCTGGGTGGCACCATGTCTGACCGCCTTATATTCAGCGAGAATGACATTGTAGCGTCCTGTGAACACTGCCCTAAAGACTCACACTCAAAGTCAGCATGCTCTGCTGTTAGAAAGTTATGCAAACACAAACACTTACCTTTCTTCATAATGACTGGTAAAAAGTGGTCGGAGATTAATGAATTTTGCAAAGCTACTAAAAATAAATTATTATTTGCATTTAATGTTTTACTTCGTGATGACCATGGTTGGTATGATCAAAACGCAAAAGACCTTCTGGAATACAGTAAAGCTAAACATTTCAATGTAGACTGGCAGCTTGGTAATGAGCCAAACTCATTTGCACATGTTTTCAATATATCTGTGACTCCAGAAATGCTAGCCCATGATTTTAAGAAGCTTCGTAAACTACTTAATGAAGTTGGATACAAACATTCCCTGCTAGTCGGACCAGACACAACTAGGCCACAGCCCAAAAGACCTTATTGCCTTGAGTACATGAGAGAATTCTTGGGAAATGGTTCAAAACAAGTTAATGTAGTCTCATGGCATCAATATTACTTAAATAGCCGTACTGCAACACTTGAAGATTTCTGGAATCCAAGTACATATGACTTATTGAGAGAACAAATTGAAACAATGAGAAATCATACGAAAAAATATAGGCATATGCCTATGTGGCTGACAGAGACAAGTAGCTCATATGGAGGAGGAGCACCAGGCCTATCCAATTCTTTTGCTGGAAGTGCTTTATGGCTAGACAAGTTAGGCCTATCTGCGAAATACAATATTACTACTGTAGTGCGACAAAGTTTCATCGGTGGAAATTATAGTCTTGTCGATAAAAAATTGGAACCATTGCCAGACTGGTGGCTGAGTGTTATTTACAAGAAGCTTGTTGGAAGTAAAGTTCTTCATGTGGACTGCAAATGTTCTCCCTTGCAGAGAATGTATGTGCATTGTGCAAATAGGAAATATACCAATGATACCTCAGCTGTAACTGTTTATGCTGTTAATTTAGAAATGGCTAAAGCAAGGTTCTTATTAAACGGCACAGCCTTGCATGGAGATAATTTGGTAATTGATGAGTTCATATTAAGTGCTCCATCCAATAACAGGAGATCTAAGACTTTATTGTTAAATGGTTGGCCCCTGTATTATGAATCAGCTTTGCCTGATCTAGAACCTGTACGCTTAAAATATGGCAACCACATTTCCATGCCACCATACTCTCTGGCATTTTGGGTTATAAAAAATACCTCCATAAAAGTTTGCATTTAAAACATTTCGTATCTGCATTTACAGTGCTTTTATCACTTGTACTTAACATTCCAGTGAGATATTGCTGAGCCCCAACACAGATCTGTTCAATTTACAAAACTAGATACCTACAGCTTATTAGTAGGTACTTTATTACCACTGAAATAATGAATATATATAAATACATATATATATTTTTAATAATTTAATCTCATGCGCCCAGTGGATAAGAATACAAACCTTAACTTACTTTTATCTCATCATTTTGATTATTTTTAGCAGGGAAAATGTAACCCTACTGTAACAGTATTTATAAAATCGAATAGTTATTTATTTCTTATACAAATAATACTTGTAACACAGGCATTGTGTCTGTGTAATCTATCGACATAACACGACACGACAATTTAGTAATAAGTTAAAATAATATAAAAGTACGAAAATCAGTGTAATCAGTAATAATGACACTTGTTTCAATAACTTTGCTTGCCTTGAAAAATAATAATGTCCGGGCTGTTTACATTTTAATATCTCGTTTTCCATTTTGCTTCGTCTTGACAATATAATTATCTTGAATTGTTGACAATAGCCAGCCTTGTCCACTAGTCAAGGAGAATTATTCTTCATTTGACATTGAACTACTGTCACCATTTGATAAGACTTCTATCTAAATGCATAAGCTATGCCTAAATAGTCCTATATAACCAGCAAACCAAGATGTATGTACTTATGTTTACATCTATCAATTAATAGAGGCAATTTGCTTTAGTCATGTGACAAACCATATAGCATTTTTAGATCTCTTTATACACTAAACATAAGCTTGAATGAACATCATACAAAGTGATGTCATCTTTTACTACTGTTATCTGTTATTGTAATTACAACAAATAATATTTTCTAATTAGAATAGTTTGCGTAATTTACTGTCGGCAAAAATGGCACTTGACCACGTTTCATGCTTAGTATAAGAATGAAAAATAGTCTACCATTAATATTGGCTAAGTACTTTTGATCTGTACATTTGTACTTGTTTTGTATAATTTAATTCTTATGAATGTTGTGACTTGATATATAAGACATCTCCTATGTAATCCTTGTGCCATGCTTTGAAAGAGCTATTATGAATATTCTTCTTGATATATAAAGGTGCTTATTTACCTATAAATAGATATAATATTAATAAAGTTGTTACTACCCTCACAGCAAATTCTCATGATACTGATGTTCCAGACTAGGTATTTTTACATGTAACTTTGTACTTTGTATAAAACCTAAAATACTTTGCATTAATTTTGTGTATCTTGCTAGCCTCAAGAATGTGGACTACACTGATTGATATGCATTAAAATTATAGTTGTCAATTGAATAATGAGTTTAACACCTATAAAAACCGAGAATATCTCGCAGTCCTATAATAAATAAACAAATAAATTATGGTCATCAATACTATTATATAGACCACATAAGATTTTAGTTACATTTGCAGTTGTACTTCGCGTATCTCCTGGCGTAAGATGATAATATTAATTTGACGGTATAATAATAAATTAAGGCTTAAATTATAATATAAATTTCATGTTCCTTGAGAGCAATGACTACTTCAATCAACGTAACGTAGTTTCGAAAATTCGTTTTTAGGTGTTTCTCTAAAACCTTTTAACAAATCATTATCCTCCCTGGTTGTTAAGTATCTTAGTCACTTATTATTAATAATATTTTAAATCGATTTCTTGTAAGCAGTGATGCCATTTAATTAAATAAAATTAATTTGGGTTGTCTTCGTTTTACGGTAATAACATCGTTAATTTTATGTGAAGAATCACGCTTTTGAGTTTTCCAACTAATTAGACCTAATTGGTAGCTTTATGTTGAGGAAACAGGAGATTTTCAGAATAATACATAATTGACATTACTATGGCATTTAATTTTATAAAATTATACACAATTTATGCAAAGTGTTGACTAATTTAAAAATCTCTTTAAAGCGTAGTACTTAGTTTACAATATTTTTAATCTAAATATATTTTAAAATATTGTGTTAGTGATTGGTTAATTATGATGTGACATAATTGTGAGTGTTGTTTTTTTAATATAGTGTTTCTTAGTCACTCTTATTTTCTAGGTGTAAAGTATATTTCACTTCTACTACTCATAAATATAATATTAAAATGATGAAAGTTCCAACAATGGCACTTCACAATCATTTATATTATCTTCGACTTTCTTCATTAGTAGGTATCACATAACCATGTTTTGAAGATCTCGTAGTACATACATGGGTTCACTAGTTTATTTATTTAAATGTTCAAATCATTCAACAATATTAAAAAAGTATAATATTATATTATATTCTAATGTCAAATATAATATTGTATTTAGTCTCTATTTTTTTACTTATTAAGAATATTTTTGAACAAATTTTTAACTATGTAAGCTTGATTTTGATAAACATATTTTATTTTAATATTGTAAAGATAAATATATAAAATGCTTATTGAACATTTTGGCCAAGTTGAATACAGGTAAATGAGGTAGGGAAATGGTTCCATTTTCATGATTACGAAAGTTATTTTTCTATGTTGTTAATATTCGGTGCCTAATTGTAAGACTGATTAGTATTACACAATATTTGTTTTCTCATCGTGCCTGATTCCTTCTTGGACAATAATAAAGATTCTTGGCTTACAATTACTATTTAGCGCTTTCAATTATTCAGAGGCAAACTTATAGAACAATATCGGGCAGATTTTGGGATTGGCATCATTGTACCAAGGTTGTATAATACAACATCACGAGATTCTAAGTCCTTTATAAAATAAAAGCCATTATACGAGCCATTCTTGGCAAATAATACGAATGCCTATTATCAACATTACCAAAATCCTAAAATAAATATATCTAATATAATATAAACATATATATACGTATTATAAATAAACTTGAATTACTATAAAAACCTCAAAAAGTTACATCACATCTACGATTCAATATTTACAAGAATTTTACTTTTCGACTTCAAATATTACATTTACTGCAAAGACAGCCTAAAAGCTATATTTCTATACTCCTGTAGCACTTTTAAGTGGTTGTATTAGACATGCTAATGTATTTTCAATTGGGTGCTTCACTTGGTCAAAAATATTTCGTTCTTTACTTTTCAATACAATTAAATATTAAAATATAGGTAATCTATCTTTATATTTGCAATGTGAGAACTTAACAACATTTTTTGTGAAATTTTTATGATGCAAAAACACGATGTCACGATAAATGTATTGTTTTACTTTTACTACAAGTACAGTACCCAAATGCAAATATCAAGCTTTACGAAGAAGACACGAAGAAATTAAAAAAAAATACATTTTTTTATTGAACAAATTTAATTAATCAAATTAAGAACGCTACTTTGTTGTACAACCTTCCATAGTTCCATTATATTATTATCGTAGTAGAATAATGTGTAGATTAGTTATCAGACAATTATTGTTCGTTCATGTTTAACTGGTATATTTAATTACCTATTAAAATATGTTTCAGTAGTTATCGTTACAATTAATATAGATTGTGTAATGGCAAATATAAATTACAATGTAATCGATCCGTTATACAGCTTCGATAAAATTATACTACTTGCGTGATTGGAGTTAATAGTGATACTCGCTTCACTTTTGATCTTATATAAATGTATGTTGTAATGTTATTATAAAAACTATCTTATGATATATACTGCCCTTGAAAGCATTCGTGTTTGTGCCTTTTTAACTAAGTATCTAATCTACGATTCCCATGCAATTATCTTTGTGCCTGTAATAATAAAAAATTAAGCTTAATATTATAATCCATCAGTAGTTTTACAATAGATATATAGAGGTATGGAATCAATATAGTTCTAAGCCTTAATGTCGCTCAAAAGTCGCAAGAACCTCTCATACACACTACTATGTAGCAGTTTTATCAATAACCCCAAACAGCAAAAGGACATACAGGTTAAGAACCGCAGTTCTAAAATTAAAATGCAGGTCCACACTAAATAAAAGTTGCGGTTATAAGTTACCATTCCAATTTTTTTGTTTGATAGTTCGAGATTTCTACTAGGAAATTTTGAGCTTACACAGTGCACAGCTTAAAGTAAAAAACATTTATAAAAAGTTTTCATTTATACATACAGTGAATCTACTTGTCTGTTCATTTTTCGAAATTGTTATTGGGATACATAGTAATTGAAATTGCTTAATTTATTTAAAAACTTCTCGAATTCTATTGTTGTTTGGAGACATAATTATGTTATAGGAATTGATGTGAAGCGTACAGAATTTATTGTGAACGCCTTTGTTATTCCATTCCCCTAGGGTGAAACATCGTGATTGTAATAGGTTACAAACAAAAAATAACTATTTTGTGATAATTGATGTCAATTCAAGTGTATTGCTGGTTTTCGCTGTGGGTACTTTAGTTAATAACGGGAGGTCAATCAACGAATTGAGTGCATCTCTTGGTGGGTCAAGCTAGATATTCATGTGTGTGTATACCTATAGATGAAGATTAATCATTGGTTCCCTAAAGATGGCATCCGCTCCATGATGTCCTAGTAATTTAATTTAGTTTGGTTAAATAAAAACGGTTAGTGGTTTATCGGTCATGCCTTCAAAACATAATGATTCTGCTCGCTTGTACCTATCAATATTGTAAGGATGTCTTTCTAAGAACCTACCTCTGTCGTACTGAGATAATATAGAAATGGCGTGTATCACATAGCTTATCCTTGTCATAAGAAAAGTTGTTTTGTATTCTCAAATATTGAAATGTCATCTATAGTTCAAATAATTGTATGCTATGTAGAAACAAATGAATGAAAGATATGTCTGTCTTAGCTTTATGGTGCTTTCTATATTATTACTTCTACGTACAAATTGCACATTACGTAATTATACCTTCGGGCTAAATAAATATTTATGTTATTGACAATATACGAGTTTTTCTTACCTTGATTGTGTTGTGACCAATCTCTTAGCGTTATCAGAAAAGTGTTTAATTATTTTGATATCTTTTATTCCAATTTAGGTTTTGGTACCTTTTTAATTTACTTATAAATATAAAAAATAATAAATAAATTTTAATTTGTTCAAAATGGTATGGAATACGAAATGACTCTTGGTATTTAGGGAAAGGCTCTACACGAGGAAACAATTTTTCGTCTATCTCGCTCTTAGGTATACTATATACCTTGTAAAGTACACTATAAAAGTACAAACTGATATTGATGTCAATATCATAAATAAATAGTACGTTTCAATCTAACTGATATGAATGATCATTTCTGAGGCCAGGCAGCCGGACGCGTGACGTTACGATGCATCTGTCTCACGTACGTGCATCTAAGAAACATCTTGATTAAAGAGACCTTGATATGAGCGCATCTTATAGGTACATAACATTCATAGATACGAAACATCACGCCTGTAATTTTCTAAAGTAGTAAGCTGACAAGTTTTCGATATAACGGGATTAATTCTGAGCCTTTTATTGACCTCAAGGTGAATTTGTTGATAAATGAAAAGTTCTATAGGTACAGGTAAGACTCGCGAATCGAACTCAGCCTTTAAGGTCATTTTGCCTAGGAAAGCTTTACGCGTTACCAGTATATTAAAAAAAAAAATCCTGGATGTCTTGAACGCCCCGCGTGATTAGGTTGCTCATCGATAGGCTCCATTACAGGGCGCACCATAGCTTACCAAAGTAAGGAGCCATACGGCAGCTAATTTAAAAAAAGACCGTTTTGTAATTAGAAAGGTGAATTATAAATTATCCTAGTACGAGTACCCAGTGAACTTTATTGGCACTTGATACTTTCAAAGAAGATAGAATATTCTTATAATTTTCATCTATAGTTAGGTGTATAGGTATCTAAGTATGTATATTGCGAGTACAGTAGGATACGACACAATCTGCCGCGTCGCCGACTAAGACTGTCATCATCATAAATCTTCTGAACAACTAGCTAGCAGTCGCTTCAAATAAAAGGTTCCTTGTAGGAAAAATCACGAGGAAAGACTGGCCTTCGTGTTCAATTGACAATATTGTATTGTGAGACCTATGTAGGTGACGATAGCATGTAGTAGCACTTGTCTGGTAGTTACCTAGGCACATGAATACTAGGTGGTATAGGTACCTGATTTCAATATGTAAAAATTAGAAGGAGAAAGAAAGTCGTTGATGGATACGGTTTTCGCAAAACAAAAAACTTCTGTAGCAAAGTATTTTAGGTATATATATGTAGATAATACTAGGTACTACCTACGATATTATATTGAATAGAATTATATGAACGAAAAAAATGTCGTAGATGGTAGCTTTCCCATTGGCTCCCTGATTTATTACAGGTAGGTAGGTAGGTACAAAATGGTTAAAACCCCTTGTTATCTCAATCGATCGATTCACTATTTGGCAGTGTTGCCAATCTTCGCTTTTTGCGGAAGTAGTTATACCGAAATAATTGTTAACACAAGATTAATCTAGAGGATCTTCAAAACTGTGTGCACTTTTATTTGATATTTATTTATTACATCTTTTACCAAGGCCTTATGTCCTGCAATAAAGTGGCAACTTTAAGATTCTACTCAAGATTATCAGCATCGCGCAATGTCGCGCATCTTCTCTTCAGCAATACGCTTTGATTTTGACGTTTGACGTTGTGTACTGCTAATTTCAATGCTGTTAATAGCTATCAAAAGAACTAGGCGCGATACTCGCATTGGGTACCTACGATACAAAAACAGTTTTAATATTTTTCTATGAATTGGCGTTTAGGGAGCCAGCGTTTCAAGACCTAGCTTTAACTAACAGAGTAATAGATGTACTGAGTACTGTAACCACTGGGTACAATGCATTAGATATTCTGCGATTGTGAACGTTACAAGACAACGTTAGTAAAATGTTCTCGCCTTTATTAATATTATTGTTTACTCCGTGGATCTTCTGTGAAAATGACGAAAACGTGACGTATTCGCAAGGTAATTAAGTTTATTTTTAATTTATTTCAATTAGTTGTTCATATTTGGAACGTTTTACTTAATTTTTCAGATGATTTCAAATGTTCTCTGCCTGATGTGACGAGTTTGGACGCTAATTTAGACATAACAAGATTCAGATCGGATTTCTCCAAAATATCCGAGGTATGTATTTTTAACTTATTGTATTATTATCTGGTTTTCAATTTTTAAGAACGGTTTCCATTATATTCAGTAGTTTTCTAGTATTTAGTCAAATTCAATACTTTTAAATATTAAACTTCAAAAAAATACTAATTTACGAATTTTGTATGAGATCGCAACATATGACGTCATAATGTTTTTATGTCAAACAGTAGGTAGGTAAGTATTAGTAGAAAAAATCTAAAATGAATGAAAGTATCTATGATTATATTTGAATACTTCATTCATTCATTATATTGAATAGTCGATTTTTTATTTTTAACCTAGGAAATTGTCTAATTTGGTAAGGGAAGAAGTGAACGACTTTGTTTAATGTTTAACGATTTTTATTGAAACTAGGGATATCATAACTAAGAACATAAAATTCAATTGACATATTGCTACTCTTGTCGTATAACAAAACATACCTATTTGATTGGGTACCTACTTGAGTTACTAATTAGTTAAATTCAATACTTTTTTGAAATAAATAAAAAAATAATCGACAGTTTTCTTCGAAATTCAAAATTATCTCAAGAAATGCGAATATTTAAGTATTTATGCACTTATATCGTAAAAATTAATAAGTGTGATTACATTTAAATTATATGATTGCTTTAATAATTGAAATATTTAGAGTACATACCTATGTCATATAGCAAAGACCTAAAGCACTGACCGCATAGAACAGATAATCATAAGTACTTATGGGGCAAAAATACATTTATTTAGTACCTAGATATTCACATATTAAATTCTTGTTTTTCAGGTAAAATTTCCTGGACTGATTGGTCCTTTAAATGAGAGGCTGATATGTAAGATTAAATGCATCGATGGCAATTGGGTGGGACCTCTTTGTTCTAACACTCCAGGTCAGTACCGCCATTCATATTAAGCTTACGAATTTGTTAAATGTATTATGGAATTATATAAAACTCCTCAGCACAGTCCTCGATCTTCCAGTAGAATGATTTATTTTGTCAATACACTTGTCTTGTTGTCAGCAATTGCACTTCAATCATATTAATTACATACCTACCAAGTTAGGCATAGATTACTAAACGATGTTATCTCTGGAAAGGAGCCCATTCAACTTAGGTCCTAGGCTTTTTAAACCATCTTGTCATTCCACCCTATTCTAATCGAAGCGCAATGAGGCACCGCGACCTCGGCCCAGAGCAGGAGAAGGAACAGGGGGTTTTTAGTCAGTAAGAGTCTGACACTGCCTCCCGCCCGGCCCTGGGCGGGAGAAGTCATTTGATGATTTTCCCCTTACGAAAAAAAAAATATGACATGGTGACATGTACCCAAGTAATACATCGGTATACGCAACATCAAATTTTCACAGATTAATTTTATTTTTTACTAGCTACTCTCGCGCGGTTTCACCCGATCCTCTGCTCCTACAGATCGTAGCGTGGTGTTTTATAGCCTAATAGCTATAGCCTTCCTCGATAAATGTACTAACAAACAAAAAAGTAGAAGAAGAAGAATTGTTAAATTTTAATCAGCAGTTCCGGAGAATAGCGCGTTTAAACAAGTAAACTCCATAGCTTTATAATATTAGTATAGATATAGGCAGTGCAAGTATTATCTCTTCTAATTTGCTATTCCATGACAAAATAATTGAATTGTACATGTAATTTAAGTCTTCTTTTCATTTCAGACGGCAGATTCCAGCCCATATTAAGAGAATGTCTATATAAAAACGAACACCCTCTTTTGGCTATATCGTTTAAGAATTCATCCATAAATGTAAGTATAAGCAATAAAAAGGATACTTTCCAAACACAGATGGTAACAGATTACTATATAAGTTTGTAAGTACTACCTATATAGTATTAATAAGTGTGGTAGACCCAAGCTTCCGCACGACTGGGTCGGCTCGAACGGAGTGATACCACGGCCTCCTAGAAAACTTGCGTGAAACAACCGCAACGTTGTGTCTCGCCGCGTGGGTAAGGTTACCGAAGGCCCAATCCCTTCCTCTCTCCCCCATCCCTTCCCAATCCTTAAATATGTATCCTGAACTCTTATCTCTCCTAACTAACTCCTTTGATGTTTTGGATGTCTTTTTCTTAGTTTCGCTATGGCACTGACCTATCTCAAAAAGTCTATTTTTATAATTAAGAATGAAGCGAGTTGCTTCATCATAAGGAAAAGAGCAAATATTCATTACTAATGTTTTCCAAGAAAAACAATTATTTGTCGATTGACACTGAATTTAATGCAATATCCAACTAAATTTGTTTATTTTTCCTTATTATATTATAGGTACCCGACATTGAATTATTCTAAAATATACATGTCATAAGTAGTCAAATATTATGTTAAAATTATTTAATGTAATCATTTATTTTACCTTTTGCTCGGCTTAAGCTCGGATCCAGCCTTCAAAAAAGGTTGTGGTCACAGCTACTAGAAAAACGGCTAAGTACGAGTCGGAGCATGGACATACTCATTAACAATCATGCAAATCGTTTATGAACTTATGAATTAGATTTCCTTTTTTCTGAGCATCAGGACTTTGGCCTTAGGAATGTAAATAAACTTAGGAAGAAGTCGGACATGACTTCTTCTAATTTCTAATAGTCAGTTTCGATCCAAACCTATTTCAATCACAAGTGTATTAAGGTTGTGGACATGCCCATCGTGCCCACAACGGTGGATCCGCCTTTGGCTCGGCTAGCACTTGCTTGCAATTTTACAATCTAACAAGGGTATGCAGAGGTGCTTACTTTCTAGCACCGGCGTGATACCACGGTCTCACTGAAAACCAGTGTTAAACAACGCTTGTGTCGCGCGTCACCATCATCATTCAGAAGACGTCAACTGCTGAACAAGGCGTCGCCTTAACCTTTCGTATGTTTTAAACGTCGATCCACGCGAGACACAATGTATTTTCTATTGTGTCTCATAAACCGACATTCAACGGGTTAATCCTCCACATCGTACAACTTGCCAGTTCCATCCATTGACTATCTACAACTATTATTAACTTGTTATGTTATATGTTTTACAGAAAGACACACATTTTCCCCATGGGTCGGTATTGGTGTCCCGTTGCAAGCACTTTGGCTTGTACAAGATGAAAGGTGATAATATGATACATTGTGAAAACGGAGAGTGGGCTCCCAAACTGCCGGAATGTGTACCAACATCAGTAGTTACCAACTTTACAGGTAAAAATTATAAATATGTTTGTAAACTTAACCCCGAGAGTAGCCAGCTAATTAAAAAAATCTAGCTTATTTTGAAACAAATTGTTTCATTTATGATAAACATAGAAAAGTACATTAAAAAGTCTTTAAAAAAGAAGTCGTTAATTCATAGTTTAAGAAGGTACCAACACAGTGTATTAAGCTATTTCAAAAATTGCCATAGACATTTTCTTCCTATCAACCTGTATGAGCTTAGAATACACCGAAAGAAACTTCTCTTTTCTGAAATTATACATAAAGGTCCAGATACGCACCATATTACAAACCTATTCATTTGAACAAAAGTAAGTTATGCTGCAAGACATTAGGTACATTTTAAGACTTACAGTACTTTGCATCCGATAGTGATAGGTATACATTGTTTTTTAAGGAAAATAAATTTCAATTTTTCAGGTGACGCCCCGCCAACGATTCAGTATACTATTGTAAGCGGGTCAGCAGTGGTGGAACATTCAGGGGAATTGTTTGTGTTCCCCGACAGCACCATCCGGCTGGACTGCGTGTCACGCCGCGCCCTTGGAGACCCTGAGTGGAGTTGGACACAGGCCGTAGGACAACACACCTCTGGTACATATTTTTTTCAAACTTTTAGCTTAGAAACTGTGTCCAATGCGATTTCTGAGAAATAACAGCTCTTAGGGACTGGATTCAGGTTTTAAGAGTATAAAATATTTTCGACAAGTATCATCGTATTTCATCCTTTAGAAATACTTATTTTAGAATCTCCAATATCAGTTTTGAATTTTGTCTAAGTATAAAACGTGTGTCACTGCGATTAAGCAATGCGAACATTTATACCTAATCATAGTTAAAAACTTATCCCAATTTCTGTAAATTGTGAAATTTTCCTTCTTTAACTAAGCTATGCGATTTGCGAATGTATTTATTCTGTCCCTGCTTTGCATTGCGCTTTCAATTGCCACAGTGTCAGTCATTTGTTTTTTTTTGGTAATCGCCAAGGCATAGGAAACTTAATAATGCTATAAACAACCAAATATTAGCGAAATCGATTTAACTGTATACGAGATTTGCGCTTTGCCCACTTTAGCAATTCATCTTTATATTATACCTAGATTGCTAGCTTGGTCTACGTAATATGGTATATAGTCAGTTAGTCAATGACGTCATGCTTACAATGGAATTATCAGTAGTTGCCAAACACTTTAGTAATAGTAGACGAGTGTCATAATACTTAAAATCTATGTATGGCATCAAACTTCATTTGCCGGAGCTGTTCCTTATTTTTGAACATTCACAGTGTTTCAATACCATTGACAATTATACTGTACCGATATTTAAGACGCGTTGCGTTAACCTATCTATACGGTGACTTTGTTTTGTCAACATTTTGATACTTTATGTGCGTCTATAAAAATGAATTCCCTGGATCTCCCTATATATCTGACGCTGACTGTACAATAAGTGAAGCATGATTTGATAAGTGAAAACGATGGTAGAGGCAAACAACTGAATCACAAGCGAATGTGTTTGATAGTGCAACAAGCTTCAATATTTATTTAATTGGCGAGGTCTACTTCTTATATATATAATGCCAGGTGGGGCATTACAAAATAATTCTGTTAATAGATTAACAAGTTCGTATATTCGATCAAAAAACCTTCTGACCTTTATGTTAATTCATTTCTCATCAGCCTGTTAGTGCTTACTGCTGAGCTTCTTTATTTTAGTATCTTCATATTGTTGCGAATTATTATATTTAGTTCATATTAAGATAATGTGGGTGTTTATTTTTGTGGGCTGCTATGCATTATTTTATAACGTATGTTGCTATGCCAAAAGAATTTGCGAACATAAAGGAATAAAATGAAAAATTGCAAATGAATGAATGTTGCCCTTACTTAAAATGTAGTCATTAAGAGTCTGTCTCTCCCTCTCCCCATACCCTCACCGAGAGAAGTCTTTTGATTATTTTCCCACAATAGAAAACATTGTCCCACATATAAATGTGGGTGGATGGAGAGGGAGGGGGAGACCAAAGAAAATATGGATGGATTGTGTGAGAAGTGATATGGAAGACAGAGGAGTTAGCGATAGCGTGACGAGTGACAGGACAGAATGGAAGAAAAAAACATATTGCGCAGACCCCAAATAAAACGGGACAAGGGCAGGAAGATGATGAATAGAAAACTTTGTTATAAGTTTTCTGTCACATCTGCTTTCATAAGTTTTCTGTCACATATTTTTATCATTATCATCATGTCAATACTGAATACATTACCTAGATTTCAATTTTATTCGTCTAAAATGTCTTTTTAAATGAACCTCGATGGTTGGAAAATGGATGAAATGGATGGTGAAACTTAGAGGGGGTCTAAGTACCACTAATCTCAATAGATTTTTGGAATACCAAATAAAACTTCAAGACCAAGATGATCAGATGTCTTATCTGGTATTCCACAAAATCTGATATCAACCCCGATAAAATCATTAGGCTCACCCCTCACTAAATGAAATTAAATGGTGTAAGTTGGTTTTAAATTATACTTAACTAGCTTCTCTCGCGCGGGTTCACCCGCTGCTCGACTCCATTTGATCGTAACGTGATGTTTTTTAAAGCCTATAGCACTCAGGAATATTGTACCTATTTATCAGTGAAAGAATTTTTGCAATTCGACCAGCATTTCCAAAGATTACCCCACATAAAAACTTACAAATTTTACCTCGTTATAGTATTAGTATAGATTAATACTTATGCAATTTTTCAGTCTTTATAGAGCGTAAGCGTTAAATACCTGTTATTTAATTGAGTTGCTAGCTGTGTTGAAATACCTAATTAGGTATATTTTGAAGTTTGTTTATTATTTTCTTAGTTTTCTTTAGTTTTGCATGCAATAGTATTATTCTAGTATTACTTAGGAAGAAAGCAATATAAAAAATAAAGGAACTTGTAATACCTACACTTAATTGTTGAAAAGCTAGTTTACTCTACTTACCGCCAAAGGGGTTTCAATGAGCGCCATTCTTAAAGTTTGTGAAACATTTTGACAGTAATTGAAGTTTTAACTATAATTCTAATTTCTAATACTTATGTATTTATAATTAGTAATCTTTCTAATGTTTGTCTAATGAGTATTGTTAATTGAAAATGGCGAAGCACAATGTATATTCTGTGTTCTGTATCTGTATATTCTGTATGTCGTTTGCTACTTGTAATTGCTATTTCTAATTCTCGCAATATTGCGTTTTTTATGTATGTCAAAATAGCAAATGCTTCCTATGCTATTTATTCCAGACTATAATCTATCTCTGTGCGAATTATTTAATATTTAGATCCGTTCAGCATAGTTCTTGCGTGTAGGAGTAACAAATATCTATGCATCTATACTAACAAACTTAAGCGAAGGATATGTAAGCTGTGTGTGTAACATTAGCGCTAGTAGCCAATAGGGCGGTGTAATATATGGCGAAACTTAAGCTTGGCCAATTAGCAATCGAATTAATGTCGTGCTAATGCCCCACTTAGGGCGAAAAATAGTTTGATGATTATACCCCTCAAAAACAAGTTGTTTAACACCCACACGAAAGTTTAAGTAAACAAACAAAATTGCTACTGCAGCTTTAAAAAATATCTATATAATTACTTTCGCTTGTGTTCATTTACCATTAAATAGTGTATATATCGGCAGTACATTTTTATTCATAAATATTCTACGTACTTTGCAGCATGGTCGAGCGAAGAAGGCGAGAAGGACTCACATTATCGACTGACGCTGAGCAAGATGTCGGTCCGACATAGCGACCAGTACACTTGCACCTCGCCCGGAGGACATACCAACACTGTTAGCATTAAAGTTGTTAGTGAGTTGTATTTATTAAATAATGTAGAGTTTTCTTCTATTCTCCTATTATGTAACAGCTCGGTAGATTATCTTATTAATGACAATAATTCGAGAATGGTGTTTTACCGTATTTACTTATTTTTAATTCGATATTTCATGCCTGGCCTCCTCCTTGCGTTTGCCTCTTTGCCTATTACTTTTTATATATTTTTATTTTGGATTTTCTTTAGTAGCTAATCTATTAGGTATGTCTAAAAATGTTTTAATACTCCTTTATCTACAACTTTCGGTTTCCGGGATATTCTATGTGACCTACAAATACGACGCCAAGCAATGATGCAAACGATCAAATGACGGCTTGATCCTACTTATGCCCAATGCCGATACGCACATATACCTTTCTGACGGTGCCCGTCTGGCTACCTTGTCTGTCACCTGTTTATGTATGCCTGTTTCTTGTCTATGAAACTGACATAGTGAATGACGTCGAAACACGTTGAATATTTATGGTCATGTTATATCCTATCACTTCATGATATCACTTTGGCAATACTAGGGTTAAAAGTAGCCTATGTATCCATTACTCCAATCTATAATCTATCTGAATATCAATTTTGATTCAGATCCACTAGAAGGAGTACCTAACACACATCCATCTATCTGCACTTACCTACCTACAAACTAACTAGTATATGTATAATATTACTAACGGCTGATTTTTCAATAGTTAGATAAAATTTATCTGCGGAGTGATGCTGTCGCGTCAGAATGTTTGTATAAGACAGTGACAGCAACAATTTTATTCCTCAGATAACATTTATCTGACTATTGAAAAATCAGCCCTTAAGATTATAGGTAGGTACCTACTTACATATCAAAACATAACAAGACAAATAAAAAAAACCTGACGAATTGAGAACCACCTCCTTTTTAGTAAGTCGGTTAAAAATATAAAAGACAAAGCTGCCTTTTGAATAATTAGAATAAACTTTTGTGTTGTGGGCCATGCCAAACAACAACTATCTAAAGGTTATAATGAATAGTTTGAAATGAAGCAAAAGCGTTTGTTTACAGACGTGGTGTGTCCGCCAGTGGTAGTGACATCACAGTACATTCGACAGTTCACACAGGGAACGAAGCTGGGCAACTCGGCGCACTTCAGCTGCCAACCTGGGTTCCACCTAAATGGATCAGCTATACTCACATGCATGGGCAACGGTAAATTTACTACATCCAAGTAATATTAATAAATAGGAATAGGATTGATGTCTGATTCGTAGTGTCGTCCCAAATACGACTGCCTAACAAGGGGGTCCGATTTAAAGGTCTAAGTATTACCAGTACTTTCGGTTTCTCGAAAGTTTCTCAGTAATTGCACGATGTCCGGATTTGTTCCCGGTTTAGTGTGACCCACTGCTATATTGGAGTCATAATATAACATAGGTACTGAGTACCTTTTGCGAGTTTGTTTTAGGTTAACACCTCGTTTAGCCCCTTGATTGGTTTGTTAACTCAGTGTTAGCCATTAAGGGCGCCGAACGTCATAACTCTGTTAACATCACCATTTAATGATGATGTAATAAGTTATTAAAACATATTTTGATTTTTTTAAGTTTTTATCCAGTTTGATTAGTCCCCTATGTTAGAAATTAACATCACTAAATAGAACACTTTATTATTGTAATGATACCATGCTTATTTATAACATCTAAAGAATAAATGATATTTTTATAAGGTCGTTGGTCATCATTGCCTCCTACATGTGAAGAAACCTTCTGCCCAATGTTAAAGACTTTGGGTCCTCATCTGAGTGTTGTAGAGTACAACTCTTCGTTTGGCGGCCGTGCAATGTTCCAATGTAGTTGGGGTTACCGCCTGGTCGGCGCGCCTGGCTTGGAGTGTGAAATGGATGGGAAATGGTCAGGAGAAGTACCTCACTGTATTCGTGAGTATCAATACGATTCTTTTTCTCAAGTAGGCTATGAAAATTCGCACAGCATTAAAAAGATCCGACATTTTATACTTTGTTTGTTTTTTCAACAGCTATATACTGTCCTGGGCCTCTTGTGCCGACAAACGGACGCTTACTGACGGAGCCGTCAGTAAGACACGGCAAATATCCAGTTGGCGACTTGATGATATATTCCTGCGACGATGGCTACGAGATCGTCGGCGAATCCTCTATAGTCTGCACAGAAAACGGATTTTGGTCTCATCCTCCACCATTTTGTCTACCTCCCTCTGAGATACGAAAAACGGACACTATTTATGTTGAAAACACTACATTAATTCATATAGAAGATTAAATTCATAACTGTTAAAAAAGAAACAAAAAATGTTTTTTTTTTCACATTCTTGTTAGATATTTATTTTCACATATGCATTTAATCCACCTATATTTAAAACCACATATAATCAAAATAATATACATTAAGCTTGACTGCTTAGGCTTTATTTTACTGAGATACATATTTCATTTTGCTTTAGATAAGCAATTAATAATAGTTTTCTTTTTAATTTAATAAATAAATACCTATTACCTTGTATAACCTAAAGCACGAACTATGTAACCAAATTTTGTGGCGGAATATATTCGTGCATTGTGTCCACAATATTTTTTTTACACAAACTCCTTTTCTTATTCTTTTATTAACTTGTTTCCTTATCATGAATAAAAACTGAACGATGAAAATAATGATAAAATATTCTAATTTTTACCCCATATTTTTTTCTTTAAGGGGGAAGTCATCAATATAATTCCCACGTCCAGGGATGGCCGAAAGGTAGTGGCGAGACTCTTAGGGTGCAGTTCCATTGAGGCGGAGCGGAGAAGAGCTGTGCCACGATTCACAAATCACATGGCTTGGCATGACGACACACACATAGACATGCCACATCGGAGAAGAGATGTGGATTTGCTCCTCACACTATGGAACTGCACCCTTAGTGACTAAAACGACTACTACTACTATGACTGCACGGTTGGTGCGGTGGCTGGGCAACTGGCTGCCGTGCAACGTGTCGCGGGTTCGATTCCCGCACGGAACAACTCTTTGTGTGATTTACAAATTGTTGTTTCGGGTCTGGGTGTCATGTGCATGTGAAATTGTATGTTTGTAACAGCACCCACGACACAGGAGAAAATCCTAATGTAGGGCACCTTTTTTAAAAAAAAGAAAACACCTCCCATTCCCTCTGCTTCTGGCTGACGACGCGGTATTTTTTTTGCGAGTTCCCCTAACCTGATCATTTGCCCTGTGGGGCCCCAGTAATAAAATACAAAAGTCGATACATAATAATTCTAAACACTAAACCAACATTAAAAAGCTTTAAACCAACTTTTACACATTATAAAGTCTTCCGGTCTAGGTCTCGTACACTGTAGGCCGGCTGGGGTTTTTATTTTTCCTTCAGTTTTATCCTTTTTTGTCCAACTTGTATTTAACTGAAAGACTTGTATCTGTGGCTAGAGATCATCTATTAAAAAACTCACGAATGTCAGCTGTCAAACTGTCAAAAATATTGTTGTCTTGTTGGAATTAGGTGCTGAGTTGCCGAGTTCCATGTGTAAACTTATCGAAGAAATATAATTTTAGGAAATAATCAATTAATAATAAGAAAGAAAGAGCCTTAGGTTTATTAATTTTATTTAGTTTATACGTAAAATGAGAGCATTGGTGTTAGCATTTCTTTGTTTGGGAAGTTCGTACAGTTGTTTTGGCGAAGATGTCAAAACAGTTTCATACAAAATGCCGACTGTAGGAATATCCGTGCTTGTTCGTAATAAAGCACATACATTACCCTTCTTTTTAAGTTGCATACGTAACTTAAACTATCCTAAGAACCGAATATATTTATGGTAAGTTTATAAAACAGTATGCTTGTTTATTCTTACGAAGCCGTAGCGTGATAATATCGATAAATTTATAAAAAAATGTATCGGCGTAATGCTCAATAGTGCTTTACAAAATTTAATCCATATAAATAACCAAGAAATTCACTACAGTGGTCTGTGGCCTAAAGATTTCTATTTGCTGCTAATCACTGTGCATGAAGTAGTCTCATGAAGCAATTTTAATGCAAAAGTTCTACAAAATTTTATTGATACTGCTGTTTAACAGCTTATTTATATACCAGCCAGCAGAATTAGTGGTTTTAAAGCTAACCATAATACAAGCTGTTTTTCATGAGTTCAAAATCGACTTATTATAATAACAACAACTGGGTTCTTCATGTTATTACAAGCTGTATAACATGTTTTTATTTCTGTTCAGGATTTATAGTGATTTTAATGAAGATAAAAGTATTGAAATCCTTGAAAAATGGGTGGACAAGTATGCATCTCTATACAATGGTGTGTATTTAACTACAAACAGTTCAAGTGGACGCCTCCATAGGGACGAAAAAAGCTCAATTCATTGGAGCTCAGATCACTTCAAGCATGTGATATCATTAAGAGAGAAAGCACTGAATTTTGCTAGAAAAATGTGGGCAGATTATCTCTTTGTAAGTACTATTTAAAATCATATTTTTACCTATGGATATTCTGTATTTTTTATTTGTTTTAGGAAATGGTTACTAAGCATAAGTGCTGTGTATATTACAAGATACCCTAAAATTAGTGCTATATCTTCTTTACAACTTTATTTTTGTTAAGCTTTTTTATGCTGAGCACTGTAAATCTGTTTCAATTTAAAGCATAGCTGTACACTTAGGGTTTACTTTTTCCAATTTTTATAATATAGCACCAATCTTAAAATTAAATTAACTATGTATAACTAGCAGTTAGACACATGACCCTTCTTAATTTTTACTACAAATAATAAGTTGCTTTTAAAATAATAACTACTAAACTGAAATATTAAAAGTGTCAATAAATTTTTAATAGTTCTGGGGTCAATGGTCTTTTATCTTGTTAAAAATTGTTTTCATATACATATGTATGAGATAACCCTTCAACAAAATTAATTCCTTACAAGATAAGCATACATAGTTTACATAAAAATATGTTTGTTATAGTCAACATGATGCTGTTAGTTACACCATAGACAATGTATATACACATACATAGACATGTTTTTATTGCTTTTTCATTATGTTACAGATGATAGATGCTGATGTATTCCTTACAAATCCATCTACATTAAGCGAACTTGTATCCAAAGACCTTCCTATCACAGCACCAATGCTTGTATCTGATGGACTTTACTCAAATTTCTGGTTAGAAAGTTGATCACACTTATGCATGCCAGAGCATGTGCCTTGTTCTACAAAGGTGCTTTTTTAATGCTTCATTCTATTCAATATGGATACAGTGGCCATTGTGATAATAACTTTGTAAAAGCCATAACAAAAGCATATCTATTAAAATCATTGGTTGGCTTAAAAAGTCAGTAATGGTTACTGCACCATAAACTGAATCAACTCATTGCCTTACATGCGCTCAAAATAACTTGGTCAATTTAAAGACTAATGCTGCAGGTTAAGTTTCTACACTCAATGGCATAAAGACTAGTTATCACTTAATCTTATTCTGAATAAGCTGTCTTCACATTAAGCATGGGCTGTGCTGTATTTTATTTTCCTACTAACAAAACTATAAAATTAAACAATGAAGTGATCATTTCCAGGTGCGGGATGACTGACAACTACTATTACCAAAGAACGGATGACTACAAGCCCATACAGAGAATGGAGAAGCAAGGTTGCTATGAGGTTCCCATGGTTCACACTGCTGTTTTAGTCCAATTGAGGACTAGAGTTTCTGATCAACTAACATATAATCCAAATAAGATACCTAATTATGATGGGCCTGAAGATGATATAATAGCATTCGCAGTGAATGCTAAGAAAAATGGTAATTATACGTTGTATTGAATAAAATATTCTTCTTCTTCAAATTAATAGTGCAATGTAAATAATTATTTGTGTAATTTTGCTCAGGTATAACATTGCACATATGCAATGATGATTTGTATGGATTTGTACCAGTACCATTAGAGGACAATCATGACCCAAAGAGTGATTTAGAGCAACTGTTGAATATAAAAACGGAGGCAATTGGACGTGGGAGTCCATTGCCTTTAGACCCATTCCTACAGGACTATGTTAAATATCCTGAGCTTTGGAAGTTTGGCTGCAATGAAATCTACATGATAAACCTAGAGAGACGCACAGAGAGAAGGGAATTAATGGAATTAAGTTTCAAAGAATTGGGCATGGATGTCAAGCATGTTAAGGCAGTTGATGGCAGGTAACTATGTTCAAAATACTAGTCTTTAGCCTAGAATTTGCGGTGTTTATTCGTACAGTATAACTATATCAGTTAGGATTAGATTTAAATTTTTAAACCTGCTGCACTACACTGCGATATTACAAACGCCAAGTTTTGTCAGTGTATATGAATGTTTGTTGTTCTTTCACATGAAATGAAATTAATTTTGACATACAGATTGACTGTAATCAGAAATAACATATTATAGGTCATTTTTATCTCTGGTGCTGCGGACTAATCCTATGTATTTTAGTAAAAAGTAGCCTAAGCGGTGTAGGAGCAGAGCCTAGTATGCAATGTATGTATACAATAACATATATCAGGATAGAAATATTTGAAGGTGAAATTCATTTAGTACTTTTATTTTTTCCAGGCAATTGGACATGAACAACCTGAAGGAGTTGGGTGTAACATTGATGCCTAATTACGAAGATCCTTATCACAAAAGGTACATAATTTCATGTAATAACGCGTATAGTTTAAGAGGCACCTAATACCAACTATGATTTAATATTGTTATTTTGTTGCAGGCCTATGAAGGCAGGCGAAATAGGATGCTTTCTCAGCCATTATTACATATGGGAAGAGGTGAGTGATACTTCTGTTTTATACTACCTATTATTCAATTTTATGGACAGTGTGTTGAGCATCTTGCATTCAAAAAATCATCATCTTTCGCCATATTCGATATTTAAGACACTATGGTCTTATTAAAAATACGAAATAAAAAACTTTTCCTAAATTAAATGACCTTATTAAAGTTGCATAAAAAAATATGGCGAGGTTTAAAATAATTAGATGGGGAATTTGCATGGGCTTTGTATTATTGGTATGTAGTAAATCAGTCACTTTGGATATTCTAATCTGAGCCAAGTTTATTGTTGTATTCCCATCTCGCCTAATAATGGCTCTTAACCCGTGATATGCCGGAGCGCAGATCTACGCGAGACAGAATGTGTTTTCTATTGTGTCTCATATACCGGCAGACGAGAGGTCAAATGGTTTTTTGTTTGTACATCTATTCTAATAAGATCGTGACAAACATCTCCTTATTATACAGAACTCAGTGTTCTCAATACCATTCTTTTTGTAAACAGATCGCGGAGAAGCGCCACAGCATCGCTTTAGTACTGGAGGACGATATACACTTCGTACCTTACTTCCGAAACAGATTCCTTCGCCTACTGCGAGAAATCGAACCACTTGACTGGGACTTGGTGTGAGTTCCATTTTATTTTACGTATAGTTACAGGCAGTGGTCTTGCATTTTTATATTTTTGTGCCATTTCGTTTTCAAGCACATACATTAATATTACGCATTACAGACAAACCAGTAACAACACATGATGACACAGTGTGTCATCCACAGTTGTTCTTCAACTCCTTGTGTTGATGCGTAACGTATGTATGAATAACTAACTAATAACTCTGCGCAGCGGCAGCTGGTTCCTCAACCAGAATCTGACTAGAACATGTGCATATTTCATCAACGTCTTCGATTAATTGCTAAAAGTAAAAACATCTATAATAAACCCTCAACTTAGATAGCATGTTTAATACGCGTGACTTGTTCAACCAGTAACGCATTTCGAATTCAATTCCATGTAAGAGATGTGGTCCCACTGGTTTTTAGGTACATTGGTCGTAAGATCCTGCAGGACGATGAAGAACAGTACGTGACGCAGCACACAACAAGGCCGCTATACTCGTACTGGACGCTCGGGTACTTGCTCAGCGACCGAGGCGCCCGCAAGCTTCTCAGCGCTCGCCCACTCGACCGCATGCTACCCGTCGACGAGTTCCTGCCCATCATGTTCGACCAGCACCCCAAGTAAGTATCCAAACTAATATTATACGTCACTGTCTGTCTTTTCTTCACGCCTAAACTACTGACCCTATTTGTGTGAAATTTGATACAAACATAGTTTAGAACTCGAGAAAGGTCATAGGATAGTTTTTAAAACAAAAATCTGACGGAAGTCGTTATTTCACGCGAACAAATTCGCGAGCAAAAGCTAGTACTTTTATAAGCTAACTAGCTTCTGTGGTGCGGTTTCACTCGCTATAAATGGACAAAAGGATTGTTCAATTCAAACCAATAGTTCTGGAGATTACCCTGTTCAAACATTCTCTCCAGCTTTATAATATAAGTATAGATCCAAATGTGTTGAAGCGAAAATCGCAAGAATAACACACTAAGCCCATTTCGATTTTTTTTTTTGTGGTGATTGTTATTACCAGCTACTTATGGGTAGTTGGTAAGTAGGTAAGCTAGAGTAGGGATAGGGGTTAGGTTAGAACGCGAGTGAAGGTGTGGGCAAAATCACTTTCCTATAAGTACCTGATAGTTCATCATAGCATACGTCTGGTAGATTAGGTAGAAATCTAGTTTGTAATATTTTAAAATAAGTTTTTTTTTTTTATAAATAAAATTACACTATTTTATTTAGCGATTATGCGTTTTGTATTTGCAGAGGTCATTTACATTTTTAATGTGAATTAATGTTAAAACGTAAAGACCACACAGATAGTCTTCCACTAGGTAGTAAAACATGGAAGGAGGAAAGAACTGCACCCTTCTAACACCTTTATTTCGTCAATATCGTTATGTTCATATTTGTTGTATTTAATTTTCAGTGCGACGTGGAAAGCTCACTTCCCGAAACGCAACCTCGACGCTTACTCGGCGGCGCCCCTACTCGTGCACCCGACCCACTACACGGGACAGGAAGGCTACATCAGCGACACCGAAGACTCGGACCTCGTCACCGAAATAACATTCCAACATTACAAAAACGAACTGTAATCACGAAGTATGTCGCTGCCATTTTGTAAGTCAATTTTTCACTACGAAATATGTAGTTTACCAAAGATAGTGTTTTATTGTAGTCATTTTAATAATATGTTAGTAAATAATTCTATCCCTTGCTGTTACAAGCAATGATGGACGTGGACACAGTTGAACTTTTACTTCTCAAGCTATCAAATGTAATTTTTTTTAATTCGAATTTGTCCTTCAATAAATTCTGAGCTTGGTTATTATATTGACATAAACGACGCCTAAGAGAAGAAAGTTTAAAATAATATAGATATATTCAACGAGAAACATTACCTTTTCCGGCGATATGTTGATGCAATGTTTCTTATACACTTTCACATTATAATCGCATAATATGTAGATGTATTAATGCGTTGCGCGTGGCCAGCTTGCACGCGTGAGATGCTATCATACTGGAGTGCGGACGGACGCTCATTAACGTGGAAAGTGCCCCCGTCACGGCTTGATATTGTACGATTGACTCTTACTATATACATTATCGAAGCCATTTCATGTATACATGTACCGCTGTACCTTACACATTCAATCTAATGCTAGATTTCTAGCATTTCATCAGATTTAGTTCTAACACATTTCACTGTTAATTAACTATATTCTGTGTCTATGTGTGAAACTACTTCTCTGTCATCATCATAAGCCTGATCTCGTCTACTCCTGGACATAGGTATACTTACCCAATAACACGCCTCTGAGCTCGATGTTCAGGTCTTCTCATCCAACCCCTGCCAGCCACTCTGCGGGTATCGTCAGTCCCCCTAGCTGGAGGGGAGGGCCCTACACTACGTTTGCCTCTGTGTAAACATTTATTGTACTTGGGTTACAATTACAACAGATTTCTTGACCTAAGTGACCTAGTCTTCAATTTGCCAATTGATGGTTTATAAAGAATATAGACTTGCTAAACAAAATGTGTATACAAGAACAGGTGACCTGTAAGGCTATTAGAATGATTGGCTAAAGTCTAGCTCTAGGTCTAGACTATAAACATTTAAATAATCCATTGTCACTTTGGCACTGTTCCTGTGTCTACGAGTCTGGGTTTGCTTGATTTTTTTGGCAGCGTTTAATTGCAATTTGACATCGCCACAATATTTGACTACTATATATCAATCTACATATCTAAATTTATATTCGACTATTTTAGATTTAGATTCTACTTATATAAAATATGTACCTAACTGACGTTGATCGATTGTTTAATTAAGCTAACACAATATTTATAAATAGTTTAATTACATTGCAGTATACAATTATTGTACTGTGTTTGATTACACATTCATTAATTATTGTGGTTTGTGATATCTTCTTGTAATAATAAAAATGTAATACTAATAAGTTTGTTCATTGGTAATATTTTTATTGTAATTCCATTTAATGTTATTGAGTCTTTAAATGCATCTATTTTATTTTATTATAAGTTTAAGTTTAGTGCCATCATGCAACTATTAGTTTGAATTTATCAAAAGAGATTTTTATTTAATATATTTTATGTGCCATAACAGGTTCCTAATAATTTGTAATCTTAATAAACTTGCATAACCAAAAAGGAATTTTATTTCGATCAAACATGAAACCATAGTGATTTAACAATATTATGATTCCGTCATTTTCGTATTTATTTTCTTTATTTAATCACCAAATTGGTAAATTATTAAACGTTATCCAATGTAGCTGCCATGAAAAGGATCCTAAAGTTAAAGTTTCCAAGGAAGTACTTATGCGAGCGAGTGGTGCGAGTTCTGATGATGATCTCGTACAGGAAATTAGTGCGATTGTGAAAGCGGGCTACGAGGAGATGAGTGAATGCCGCGCGGCCCTCGAGCGCATGGTGGACGCGCTGAGCGGCGAGGTCGCGGTGCCCGTGACGCCCTGCGGCGAGCTGCGAGGCGCGCTCGAGTGCTGCTACCTCGCGCATGCGCATCAGCCGCTCCACTGCTCACACCTCGTCGCCGAGTTCGTGCGATGCGCGCGCAGCCACGCTCTGCGTGATCATTCATGATGCCTCTTCATACATTTTACATCACGGCGTAACAATGCGCAATCATTATCATCCAGTGGTGCGGTTACTTGTTTTGTTTTTGTAAACATTGTTTTTGTTGTTTACGAGTTTGTAAAATTAAAATTAAACCATTATATGTTAAGGGGTTTATTATTTGCCAAATATGATAAAAATCAAGAAGTACCTATAGCGCACGAATGACTACACAAACTGTTATCTACAAGCGAATAATACTCGTATTATAATTTAGAGGCTGCTATCATTTGGTGTAAGAGTTCAATGACGGTCCTGGTAGGTCGACCGGTCATGCCACGCGGTAGGTACGGAAAGTCGGCTCCCTTCGTGTAAGCCACGTTGTATGTGTCGATGTGTGCCCACTGGCTGTCCAGCACGAACTGCCTCAGGAAAGCAGCACAGTTTGCAGAATCCCCGTACTTCTCGCGTCCTGTGTTTGCTATGTCTGCAATGTCGCAATTCTTCACTCGGCTCTCATAAAACTTCCACAGCGGCATTCTCCAGATTCTGTCCCCAGTCTGAGCACTGGCGATTTCCAGGAAATGGTATAAGTCGTCAGAGTTTGAGTAACAGGCGCTTGCTGATCCACCTAGGTAGAATAATAGTTCTTTGGACATTGTGCCTATATCTATAATAAACTTGGGCCAGAGATTTCGAGCATATAGCAAACTGTCGGCAATGAGCAAACGTCCCTCCCGAGATGGCATTCTTACATGAATAGACTTATTGAGAGAACTACGGATGACATCGCCAAATTTCGGACTTCTTCCGCTGGGCATTAACTCGCAGAGCGGCAGAAAACTTTTGATGTTAACGGGGAGTTTCAATTTCGCGGCAGCTCTAGTGATGGCCAAGACGCAAGCTGCTCCAGCCATGTCACCTTTCATGTACCTTAAGTCTTCACATGATTTCAAGTCTAAGCTTCCACTGTCAAACGTAACACCTTTGCCGATCAGAACCACGGGACGAGTGCGTTCGTTAGCCCCGTAGTAGCTGATTTCTAAATACAGCGGAGTTTGTATTGAAGACTTCCCAACTGATTCAAAGCCACCCATTCCGTAATTAGCTGCCCACCCCTTCGTTTTTACTTCTACATTTATATTCAAGTCACATAAAAGATCAACAGCTATTTTAGCAAATTTGGTAGGATTTAAGATATTGGCGGGCATTTCTTGTAAGTATCTTGCTAGGTTTTGGGCTTCTGCTTTCAACTTTCCGATTTTCCATCCGTCTATGTCACAATCGTCGTAAAGGTTTAGTATTGGTTTCGGTACGGCGGCTTTATCTGTAGCAGTAGTTTTATATTCGTTGAATTGCCAGACTGCGAGCGCTGCCCCTTCAGCAGCGGCTTCGGCATTTCCAAAAGACTCTACGTCTATTTCTTTAGGATTCAACTTATGGATCGCCATAGCGCCAGTTCCAGCCGCTATTCTTATAGCTTCTTTAGTTTCATCCAGTTTTTCTAGTTTGTTGTAAGTGGTACATTCATTTCCAAGACCAGCGACTGCTACATATGTATAGTTTGGGTCCAAGTCGTAAAACACTCTGGTCTCGCCAAGTTTTGGAATGGGAGAGAGGTTTAACATGGACCACAACCTCCCAGAAACTTCTTTGTCGTATTTCTGTCCGCTTGCAGTTAGTATTGCAGGATTTGTCATGACATTTTCATTGAAATATACACCTAAGACAAGCCCTTTACTTTTTCGGTTACATGTTTCACTGGACCTCAATTTTCGCAGTGGTATTGGCGGCACGCAGTCTGTTGTCGATATTTTAAACTGAGATATTAGACGAACACATTTTGGAAACCTGATACTTAATCGTACATACATTTTAATTTTGTAAAAAAAATTTTTCAATAATTTTGTTTAAATATTTTGTGAAATCATTGCCAACTAGTTTTTGGTAACTTACTTTTTAGTATGAGTTTTTATTAAAATTTAATTATAGTAAGTATATTAGAAGTAATATGTAAATTTAATTATTAATAAAACAATATGTTTACATTATCACACATCATACATTGCTCACAATCAGATTAGCGCACAACATGTCTTTTGGGAGAGGTCAAGAAGTCTTCTTCTTGAGCCAGTTGGGAGTGTGACGTTCATACCACTCAGGAATATTCATCAAGAGTGTTTCTTGTAACTGACGATATATTATTAGAATGAGGAAAGGAATGGCCAGCCTCTCGTCTTTGAAGAAGTACACCCAAAAAGCTAGTAGAAGGAGGCAAACGTCCACTGTGTAATCAATGGCTGACCTCACGTTCATCTTAGCTTTCTTTTCGAGCTCTTGGTAGTTTATCGGTATTACAATAGTGGCTCGTTCTGCTTTCCTTAGTACTACTTGTTGTGTTGTTGTCTGCATATTGCTTTCTGCCGCAGAGGAAACTGTGGTTTTTGGTTTCTTTTCCGTTTGTTTTTTCTCTACGTTAGGCATCACTTTTGTCTTCACTGACTTATTGCTATTATTAGAAGCGGCAGGCTTTCCCTTCACAACTTTATTGTTATTTGTCTTATTAATGAATTTCTTTGGTTTCGTTATTTTATTTACTTCGTCATCGTCAGGTTGGGTTTCAAGCTGCTGTTTTTCAGCCACTGCTTTTAAGTCTTCTGTTTTAAGGTACATGGGAGTGGCCGATTTCTTATGGCTACCATATTCCTTAACTATACTACCATAATAATCAATTACTGTCCTTCCTTCTTCACTCACTTTATCTAGTGTTTTTTCAGTTTTGCTATTAGTTTTGCCTTTGTCATTGGGTATGGTTTCTTCTTTAGGTTTCTCTGGTTCTTTTTTGTGAAGTAGTTTGGGAAATTTTGTCGTAGTAATTTTCTTAAATATTGTAATTTTTTCATCCCGCTTTGGTTTTTCTTTTTCTTTTGGTGCTTTTACAGGTTTTATTTTAGTTTCTGATTTATTTTTTTCTGTGTTCTTAAATTTTTCTACCAATTTGGGTTTTTCCGTTATTTTAGGTTTATCTATTACTGTTAATTTGTCTTCTATCTTTGGAAGCTCAGGAACTGATTTCTTTTCTATTATTTCTGGCTCTCTCTTTTTTAATATAGGCTTTGGTACAAAATTAGGGTCAGGCAAAGGCAAAAGTTTCACAGGTTCGTGCTCAGAAATTTCTTCTTCCTCTTCTTCAATATACTCTTTGGAAGGGGAGGGACGGGCCATTTTGTCTCTTGGGTTATATGTTTCCTCTTCGTTAGAATATTGGCTTCGTCTGTCTATATCACCATCAAGACTTCCTTCTTCTGAATACTCTCCGTCGGAGGATACGGTGCTAGCAGTATAGTCTTCTTCAAAAGACATGTGTTGCCATTTATTTTCGGATATTTCTGAATCCAGAGATACTTGACGTGGGCTATTGGTGTTGTCAGTGGAGTCAACAGATTCCAATTTAATTATTATTTCTGGATTCTTTGATTTTGTTTCAGAGAAGTCTTCGAGCGATTTTGGCAAATCCCGATTATATTTATCTTTTTCGTGATCATAGCTAGTATTATACGGAATGTCAGTTTTGGGTTTGTCGTCTTTGTTTTTAGTTTGTTCTTCTTTCATCGCCACAGCTTTGTGAACACGAGCCATAGCTAATTCATGTAGCAGTTGTGACGAGCTTACAGCGTTGCGAAGTGATTTGAACGGCATCATGCATCGTGAGCTCAGCTCCGGAGCGGAGAACGACAGCGGAGGCGGTGACAGCGCATCAAGATCCAGCTGAATGGATTGTCTTTTTTCTGAAAATATAAAAAGTCGTACTTAACAATAAGTACAATGATTTAGGATTAATTCGCTATGCTAGCATAGATTTAATGAGATAGGATAAGATTTTATGTATGCACAGTCGCTTTTGCATTATAATTATGTAGGCGTTGTTGTAGCTCGATTAATTCAAAACTGTAGAACTACACGGTTCAAAGAGGTTAAGCAAACATAATAATAGTTGCGATCTTCGTTAACGCTAGAAATAGATTTGATTTCGCAAATGTGCTCTTGTATGTAAATTTCGCAGAAGCTGCGGTGCGGTCGGAATCTCGAGTCTTATGTTTGTTTGGAGTTGAGTTAACCCGTTACTAAGTTGTGGTTATCTCGAGTTTGGTAGGCACCTATTTATAGCTGTGCCCGCCGTCCAAGTTTACCTACTCTATCTCTTTATTTAGAATCCTAAATTATACATGATAGACAAAGGAGTTTAACTTCAATTCTATTCGCGTCCTCCTTTGTGTATTTATTATAATTTATAATTAACTGAAATGTGGCCATGACTGGGCTTTACATGACATGACACACCTTAATGGTGAGCTTAAAATTAATGATTATCTACTCGAATCATAAAGAAAATGAGCGGTAAAATTTGTAATGAATTATATTATCGCAGTGCTGCATTTTTATAAAATATCTAACATCTTAGTATGATAAAATAGGCGCATTAATACGAGAGTTGGTTTCATAGCGGCAAATATTATTTCTTAATGCATTAGGTATTTGCAAAATAAAATTGAATACACTGATTTTTAATCTGGCAGTATTGTAATCTACTGAACTCCTTATCTTTATGTTAAAAACATTTATTAATTCAAAATAATTCGCTAATGGCTGTTATGCTGTAGTGAATATTGATCATGTCGTACTAGGTAAAAGTATTTACTTACATAATTGCTTGCTTACTTTCGCTCAATATTTTTGTAACTTAGCAAGTCAATCAATCAAGTCAAAAGTAGGAGTATTCTTAACCACACATTTGTATACCCTGTTTCTGATTATATGTAGGTACATAACTTTCAGGTAGGTATGTAATACATATAGTATAGCTTTCAGTGAACTATTTTTTGTTCCTAATTTCTCTTGTTTGCTCAATCACGTGCATACGGTGGAATCGCTAACAATAATACAAATTGAAAAAAAAAGAAATGAGGTGCTAACGATGTCAGTCAAATCTTTCCTGTACCCAATGATCGGTCGAATATGCCAGTGTTGAGGTAATTAGGAATTAATATGTAGCTTAATGTATGAAGTAGTGGCCGCTAGCGTCATATATTATAGAATTATCTTCCTGAAAGGCAAACATAGACAGACAGCCAGTACACTTCTAGCGAGCTATAGGTATTATTTAAAAATCGGCAGAATTCACTAAGTATAATAGCCAACGGCCACATCATACTTTATCCTAACTTAGGATTGAACTGTCATCGAGTCCTAAAGAAGTAAAGATAAGGAATGAAAGAATAGTAGCATTATGGGAATATGGCGATGACTAGATGGGGATAAAATGTAAAGTAAAAACTTTTACAAGATTTAGGAAAGCTTTCTTACTAATAAAGAATAAAATTTATCTTACCGGATGTTTCCATCTGTTTCTGTGAATCCGGGTAGAGTACCAGCATGAATTCGTTGCTGCCGCCGGATTGGTTCCTGGCCGGCGAGCGCCGCGGCACCCGCTGTGGCGGCTGCGGCTCCGCTGGCGCGGTTTGTGCGCGCTTGCGGCGCGGCACTGGAGACACGCGCGCATCGCCGCCGCCATCTTCCCGAGTAAGCACTTGGTTTATTATCTTCGATTCTACTGCCAGGAATTCCATGTCCACTGGTCGCCCAGGTATTTTCACCGGCGCCGACTCCACACTAGGCGCGCTCATTCCATACGGACTTTCTGCTTTTACACGGAAACGGTATTCACTTCCTTCGATGAGGTCAAACAAAGTTACGTTTGTTTTGCGGCTGGTGGTTGCCTTCAGCCACACGTTCCAGCCGTTCCTGTAATACTCTACTACGTAGTTGCCGATGCGACAGCCACCGTCGTCCTCGGGTGGCTCCCAATCGAGAGTGACGGACTTGTCTACCTGTCTTGCCACGGAGACATGCTGCGGAGGGTCTGGTGGAGCCGTGATCGTCACTAGAAAGGCAGCAGTGTCTTCTCCGATTCTGTTTTTAGCGTGAATTTGATATTCCCCACGGTCGCTTCTTCGTGCCGAGTGAATCTTGAGAACTGAAAATTTCGAAGTATTCGAAATCTCCACGCGGTCGTCTACCACTATAGGTTGGCCATCGTGTCGCCATTCCACAGTTGGTGTCGGTTTTCCAACTATCGTAGTTTTTAGAAAAACGGTTTCGTTAATTTCGTATAACAAGCCGTCCTCGTATTGACGAGGGTAGCGTAACTTCGGAGCAGCTTCTAGGCACAATCGAGCTTTGGTGACTGCGTGTCCGCTACGGTTTGTTGCTGTGCATTTAATTTCTCCTTCGTCGCTCGGTAATGTTTGATGGAAAACCAGAACACTGGTAGATTCGCTTGTAGTGATCGCCGTCCTTCTGCTGCTAAATATTTCATAATCATCCTTGAACCACGCTATTGTAGGCGGTGGCATACCCGTGAAAGCGACACGGAATTCTGTTTTTTCGTTTTCTAGTACGGTCAAATCTTCCAGATGTTGTAGAAATATTGGCGGCTCATGAGGAAGGCGGTCAGAGCTGACCGTGAGCACGTCGGAGATGTCGCTGTAATCAGAGCGCCCGACTGCATTGAGCGCTGCAACACGGAATTGGTACCGGTGAGGAGGCTCGAGCCCGGTCAGCACGAGCTCGGGGCGCAGCACTACCGGTGGCGCTGTCCGGATCCAGTCCGGGGCCCCGAGCCTGTTGCACTCCACCTGGTATCCGAGCAACGGCGCGCCTCCATCGTGTGCCGCCGGCGCCCAGCGCAGCGTAATCGAGTTTGGCTCCTCATCCGGCGACAGTATCGGTATTATATCCGGCTTCCCTGGCGTTGCAGGTCGTCCTGAAACATCGAAACGGGGCGGTGCGTTACTCTATGCAATTGTATGATTTAAGTTAAATTTAAATTTGTCTAGTCGGACGTTAACCTTTGTTCGGTAACGACAGTGCTGCCGGTATAAGCCATTTGGCATAAAACTCCTTTCAAAATTAGACGCGTGATAATCGTTACATGAACGCGGACGGTCTTACGATTTGTTTTGTTGTGCCACGCTTTAGGAATCGCAGCGCGCAGTCTTTTTATAAATAGAAATATAGACAGGGGGCTTCTATGGGTACACACATGTAGGAAGGTCGTTTGCATCTGGTGCCGTCTCGGAGGGCGGGGTGTTAGGATTACCTGCGGTCTTCCAGCGCACGTTCTTGCTGGGCTTGTGGACGTAGTGTGAGGCGGAGTGCTGGTTGCCCATGGCGGCGGCGGCGCGCGCCGACACACTGAGCACGGCGCCCGCTCGCCCCCGCCCTCGCCGCGCGCCGCGCTCTGGGAATAACTCTGCGGAGAGCCGCGCCCGCGCGCCCGGATGCGATCTTGATCTGTTTCATCGATAGTTTTTCATTAACGATTTACAGGCTATGACCTTTGGCGAAGCTATATTGATCATATTCATCCATTTCAATCATTAGACACCATTGCCAATTGCCTACTTGGAAAACAATAATTGTAGGTAATAACGATTAATCTGGTGTCACGGATATTTAAAATGTGAAATTTCAATAATGTCTAACCATTTTAACTTCACATTTTACGAATATCTAACCAATAGTTAGGAAACTGAATCAAGTTCAATTGAATTAGTTCCTGAAACAAATCGACGTCATGTCGTAGTAAAAACGAGGACATCTTGTGCCAAATTTTGGTACTAGGTAGGTCTTGGTTTGCTGTTGGCTAAGAAGATAATCGGTTAGGTTACTTAATCATTAGTCGACTTGTACTCCATCTGTTGAAAAACCTTGAAACAAATTAGTGGGGAAGCTGCCGAAAAACTTTGTGGTATCGTACTAAAATAAAGTGTGCCAGACGGTTCGTTATTTCACGTAGTAACGATAGATGGCGCCACTATTCAATTTGTTTGTGTGTATAAAAACTACTTATAATTATTGTGTACCTATATCATCAAATTTTTTACCGATCTCTCTTGCGGACGAGAGGGAGTGTCAGACTCTGTCTGACTAAAAACAACCGTTCCTTCTCCTGATCCCCGGGCTGGGGCCGGTTCATTATTGTGCTTACCTCCACCCGCAACCCCGGCTAATGTATGTAGCATCTACATGTGCAATATTAATGTTTAAGTTTGTTCGTAAACTTGCGCAAAACGTGCCTATTATTGTGTCCTGTATGGTTAGTATTTGATATTTAGATAGGTACGTATTAATTAGGTTCTAATAACTTCTAGTTAAAGTAGATATTTAGATGATCCGTGGTTCGCGCGTTGATAGAATATAATATGTTATTCTTATTTCTTTGCTGTAGCGGCTGGGCGATAGATCTTGTAGTGTGTATTAGCGAGCGCCTACGCGTATCCCCGTTACGTACTTTTCACCACTTGAACATAAGAATATATTTTAGGAAACTGTTTCAACAAAACTGTAATCTTATCTGCATCTGGAGCTAAAATAATAAGATTTTTATTTCAAACATTCTTTTGAAATTACTAAATGAATGAGCTAATGACTCAGCTTACGTCTGAGATTAAAATTTTTGTACAATTTTCATATGCAGTGAAGTTTTAGTATGTTATTGAAATGGAAAAGTAATCTGCGAAAATACAAATTCACCTATTTTAACCTGCAGAGCAGGAGAAGGAACACTGGCGTTTTTAGTCAGTAAGAGTCTGACACTCCCTCCCGCCCGGCCCTGGGCGGGAGAAGTCATTTGATGATTTTCCCCCGACAAAAAAAGTGTGAGCACGGTGGGCTTGGGCGTGAACGACAGCGTAACGTTGGCGCCTTCAATGAGGCACCGCGGTCTCGGCCCAGAGCAGGAGAAGGAACGAGAGGGTTTTTAGTCAGTTAGAGTCTGACACTCTCCCTCGCCTTACCCTGGGTGAGAGAAGTCATTTGATGATTTTGCTCTGACAAAAATAGCGTTGGCGCCTTGGACGCGTCCACCGAGACGCTATTGCTAGTCGTGAAGAGTGACGGTTCCATTGGACTTCAGGAGCATGGTGGCGCGTTTTGTTTGCACGAGAGCATTTGCCATGTTTTGAATTGTCCATTGTATCAATATACTTATTATCTAGAAATTGATAATACCAATCTGCTGTCGGGATTCGCTAATTAATTACAATTATAAATTAACGTGATGCATACCTATTTTACAGGATATGATATAGAATTACGAGCTGTTGATATCTAATAATATCAAGCTTAATCATAGAATCGATTAATTGAACTGTTTTGCATTCATTGATGATTATTTTTAATGAAGAAAAAATAATAAAAGTCAAAGAGTGCAGCGATGGACCAAAAGTAGAATGATGGAGTGCAAATTGGAACGTCAAGTCGATTAACCACGTACTGTACTGAATAAACTGTCTGCGAACTGACTAGTATGCAATCGGTACTCGCAGAAGCTGATTAAAAACTGAAATCATAAGTTATGTTATGAATCCTTTATACAATAATGTTTTTGATCGATATACCTAATTAACATAATAACATCTAAAACTTGCGAAAGGACGAAATCGCACATGAAAATACCTTAATGAAAAAAATATTGTGTAGGTGTTGGCATCATGACGCAATATGTTACCTAGTTTCCAACTAGTCAAATTCATTACTTTTATCCAAATGTCAAAAACGATACTTTTCTATGAAATTTCTATGAAAAACTGAGTTATGACTTCATAGTATTTATGCATCAAATAGCTTACTTATTTCTTAATAATTAGCTACAAAATATCTAAAACTTAGTGTATCGATCGATTGATGAATAAAAGTTAGTTATTTTTCAATATTTTATTGTATTGAAACGTCGAATTAATTTGTTTTTGAACTAGGAAACTACCCAACTTCCCTTCGATATATAGTATTTATTGTTCATTTTACAATTCATCTATACAATATTGGATAGGTAAGCCGCTTAAATTGAACAGTAGTCCGGCTTTATATAGGCAGGTTTTTAAAGCGCATTACTATGATTACCAGATAGCAAAGGATTGACGATCTAATGGATTGGCAGTAAGCGTAATGTGAAGTAAAGCGCAGTATCGTAGCCAGGAACCAATTACTTATCGCTCCTGATAGATGAGAGTCTTCTGCATGTTTGACTACGTTCAAATGCGTGAGGTGTAATAGATCTAGCTCAGTCAATTTAGCCTAAAAAGTTCCTTTGCTAGGTTGTATAAATGCACGTACAGTCGAAATTTACCTTGTATATACTTATATAAATATAGGTAAACACGCCAACCGTGCAAGTTAATGATTATGACCAGAAGATGGTTCTTAACAAAAATATATATATACTTAGTCGGGTCATAAGTTCTGTCAAAACCTTATATTTTTAATTTTCGATTACTGGCCAGAAATTCTTCGACTTATTTTAAAAATAGAACTTTCGCGCTTGTAGAAAATAAAAAAGAAATTATTTTTTATTCATTTTTAAATATGGAGTGGTCGAATAAAGAAGACAGAATCGCGGTTATCGCGTTGCACCGCTGTGGTTACGCGCCAAAAGACATTTTCAATATTCTTCAAAATTTGAAAATAACGTTACGGTTTGTTTATCGTACTATCAAACGATACACCGAAGAGTCAAGCTTCGAAGATCGTAAGAGAAGCGGCCGACCTCGCACAGTTCGGACACATAAGGTCATCAAAGCAGTGAAGGCGCGAATCGAACGAAATCCCGTACGTAAACAAAAAATCCTAGCTCTGCAGATGGGGCTAAGCAGAACCACTGTTAAAAGAGTACTAAATGAAGACCTGGGACTACGAGCTTATCGTAAAAAGACAGGACATTTTTTGAACGAGCGTTTAAAAAAAATTAGGCTAGACAGATCCCGCGCTTTGCTACGACGGTACGCGGGAAAAAAATACCGCGAAATTCTTTTTTAGGATGAAAAAATTTTTACTATTGAAGAAAGTTTTAACAAACAAAATGATAAGGTGTATGCCCACAGCAGTGAAGAAGCAAGCGCGCGTATTGCGAGGGTCCAGCGTGGGCATTACCCTTCCTCATTCATGGTTTGGCTTGGAGTCTCATATTCAGGCGTAACTGAGGTGTTTTTCTGTGAAAAAGGTGTGAGAACTAGTGCCGAAGTTTATCAAAATACTGTCCTAACAAACATAGTGGAACCTCTTTCTCAGACAATGTTCAGGAACAGGCATTGGATATTCCAACAGGACTCTGCACCGGCTCATAAGGCACGAAGTACGCAAGACTGGTTGATCGCTCGTGGAATTGACTTCATCCGGCATGAAGACTGGCCCTCTTCTAGTCCAGATTTAAACCCACTGGACTACAAGATATGGCAATATTTGGAGGAAAAAGTCTGTGCTAAACCTCACCCGAATTTGGAGTCTCTCCGAGCATCTCTGGTTAAAGCAGCGGCAGACATAGATATGAATGTGGTGCGTGCAGCGATCGATGACTGGCCGCGTAGATTAAGGGCATGTGTTCAAAATGGGGGAGGGCATTTCGAATAATGTAAATAAAATTATATTGTACATTTAATGACCTTTCATTTCATATATAATTTTTAAATAATTGTCAAAAGGCGTATAAGTTATTACATCAAAAGTTTGTGACAGAACTTATGACCCGACTAAGTATATAATATATATATATATATATATATATATATATATACATATATATATACTCTTTCACTTCTGCAATATATATATATATTGCAGAAGTGAAAAAGGGAAAAGTGAGAATAAATGTAAAATAACCCTTTCGTTGTTAACGAAATAGTGCGAAGCAGCGTGCAGCAGGCGGTTCGCTAGTAAAATAAATAAAGACAAAAAATCTCGCCTAGACTACCACAACCTGTGACCACAACCTGTGACTACTACTACAAGACTGCAAGTAGGTAGTTAGGAAATTCCATTTACATAGACTCTCGCAATTGTATCATAAACATTAAAAAGATGTCTTTTTTTCTAGGAAGTATGAAGTATGAAGTGTCATTCCATTCAAAACAGGATAGCAAAGTTCTAGTTGGTATAGATAGATCGGTTTCACTAACAAGTCGCTAAGAAAAATCAGGTAGGCATTCGCTGTCAGTACACCCTATAGAAACCTAACAAACAAAAGGCTAAAAGTGTCAAGATACGTGACACTTAAGCCCTTCTTCGTGGGACCAGCGCAAATAATAAGTTGACATAAAAAGGATTGCATCTCCCGACAGTGGAGTCTGGAATCATTGAGTTTCCGTCAGCCTGCCGGCTTGCATGAAGTAGTGGCCTAGATGCGTCTATGCATATCCCGTGCATTGTGTCCCGTATTCTGACGGAACTACGAGCGGAACTAACGAGAGATAGGATGGCACAAACTTGCTATTGTTTGCGAGGACATGCACTAATCAATTTCTGTGTTCGCCTTAATTAACTGTGGATACGTAACAGACTGTGATGACATTGATAGTCCTGGATTAAACGCGCTGTCGGAACGTGCTTCATATCGGGAATGCTATCATTTGTGCGCGTTCGTTGATAAAGGGATGGATCCCGTATTGTTTATGCATTACAAACTGTCCACTCGTTATTATAGTTAGAAAACTACAATAGAGAGAAGCAATGGAAAATTTTGAATTGAAATATTTTTAGAAATGTAAGATTCTTCTATTTTTGTAAATGATACCTTAATTTCAATATAAAGTAACTTTAGATTCGTGGAATATTGACTATACTGTGTCTATATCGTTGTCTAAAGACAGTTAATTAAATACAACATGTTAATTACCTCAGAATCAGTTGTTTTAAAATCTTTCGTCGTGAAATCGCAGTGAAATTACAGAGAATCATTAATAGAGTAGCTCTGTGTATGCACGACGTTTTAATTGGAACGTAAGTAATGCGAGCGCCGGTAACGTAATGCTCACATACCCAAATATACGCCAAAATACCGAACATCGTGCACCAAACAGCCGTTAATGCCAAATTGCCAATATTAACGTGCATCTGTTTTATCGTACATCGGAAAATTGCATTTCAATGATGATCTCAAAATAAAAATAAAATCCGAGCTATTTTCAAATATTTAAATTAAAACGG